ATGATGGGTGTTGATAGTGTTGAGGATGTGCTGTCTGATGTCACAGTTTAGAAGCAGGAGCTGGCCAGTAGAAAGGGCAGTTGTTGGGTTGCTGGCAGGCTCCTGTCCTGCCCAAGTGGTAATATTCAGACTTTTATGAGACAGTTTGTTATTTGTCTCCATGTACAGAGGTTTCTGTATGAAACGGGCTGTTCCTTGGGTTGTATTTCTCAGCGATGAAATCTCTCAGCATTGTGGTCTGGTCCCAGCAAGGCTGTTGGTCTTGAAATTTCTGCAGTGCCTTGCAAGAGCACTCCACTTCTTTTAACACTTACATGTTACATGACTAAGGGCATTGCAAAATGTCTGGATCACAAATGTTTTGCTTTAAAGTATCAGACATGCAAGAGGATTACTCCTCTAAATGCCTGCTATGGGCATTATGTATGTATGGGGGCCTGGAGGCTGGGTGCCCTGGCTGGGTGGTTCAGGAGATGATGCTCTACCCAGCTGAAGGAAGCGGGAGCTCTGCTTTTCTCAAAATAGTGACAATTCTGGTTATGTGCCACTGTTTGCAGCAGGTGGTGGGTCATGTATTTTGTTGAAATAGGAGGAGACAGCAGAGGTTAATATGGTGGGATACATTTCTGTGTACAGAAATTGCAGTGTTTGCTGAAAGGTGAAATCCGTGCTTGTACAAGCAAACTTTTAAAAAGCAACAGTCAATCACCTTTCTTTCTTTGAAATGTGGACTTGAATTTTGGGCCAGGATATGCAGGTTTTGTGTACAAAAGCTGATACTGAGACCACAGTTTATTTATTTAGTAAATAAAATGCCTGAATGTATCAGCTGATATTTAAAAGTGTTTAGCCATTTTCCCGTTATGTGCCAGTCCATTACACTTTATGGAGCATGAGGACCACAACTTTTGAAGAAAAAGAATTGTGGTGTCTGCTTCATTTGCAGAAATTAGTCTTAATACTTAAAATTATCAGGTTAGTGATAGCTGATGTAACAGTTTGAGAGTAATTAGGAGCATGAATTTATGCTCAGATGGATGCTTAATTAAAAACCGGCAGCTTTGAAGTTCACGCTTGCATAATCTTGATGCTGAAATGTGGGTTTATACCCAAGTGAACCTTGGCAGCAAATCTGGAGAGGGGGGAAAAATGATTTAGTAGCCCTGTTTTCCTCCTGTTTGTTTTACACCATTGCAGCCATCATGGTGTCTGTAACAGTGGTGAATTTATGAAGATGAAGCAGATCAAGCAGTTCAGCCAGAACATCACATAGCCAGAACCTGCTTTAGGGAAAGGAGCAGGGAGATATTGGAAGATGCTTGTGTATTTGAGACCTCCAGGAGCTGTACTCCAGGTGATGCTGGCAATGGTCCTTCAAACCTTGCAGTGCTTACTGTGAACAGCCAACATGGGGTGGTGAAAGTGCTGCACTGTGTTGAGCGGAGAGAGAGGTGGATAAAACGTGCTTATGTCCAAAGCGAGGGTGAAGCCATGCGGGAGTTTGAGCCCTGAGGCAGGATGGGGCTGGTGGTGGGATGGTGGCATTTTGTGGCAGGTTGGGCTTTGGGAGGATGCCAGTCCTCTTGCATATCTCGCTCTCATATACAAGCAGCTGGAAGCAGCTCACCCACCACCACAAGCGGAAGAATTCAACAATGCCAGGAGACAAGGCAAGAAGACAAAATGTTACAGATTGCTAAAGAGCAGATCAGCTCATTTTCTGCAGGCAGACAGGGGGCAAGACAGGAGGCGAGGAGGGTGCAGGGAGCAAGGATGGCTGCGGTGATTGCTGCTCCCCTCCATCTTCTTTCTCTCTTGTCACTGAAAATGGTGGTGGCTGTGTGGTCTGAAGGCTCAGAAGTGACTGCCTGACCCTGGAAGGGTCCCATCCTCCTGAAGGCTGTGCCTAGGGGCAGCTGCATCCTCTCCAGCATCTCCAGGGTAAGCTCCCAAGCTCCAGACTCCAGTGAAGGCACCTGCAGTTTTGACCCACATCTATGCTGTGGGAACAGAGGCAACCCAGGTGCAGGAGTTGGGCTCAGTCATTGTGTGGTTTTCTAATGGAGGCTTCTGCTGACAGTTTAAAGGGAAAAGCCAACAAGTTTTGATGGGTGGAGGACATACAGGAGGTAAAAGCATTGCAACAGGGGCTTTATGGTACTTTTGTTGGTCTTGATACCCCAGTCCACATTTGTAGCTTCCTTCACAGCAGTGCCATATTCACACTGGACAGTGTAGCACTTGCCACTCATTAATTAGCAATTTCAGCTTGCCTTGGTTGGCTTGGGCAGAAATGGCTCCACTGCCTAGTCCAGCTGGATACTTTGAGAGACAGCAGGGACACAGATGCTTCTGGTCTTGCTTCCAGCCTTTGGGCACAGGCACTTGCTTCTGCGTGGCCAGCATGCAGGAGGTGGTTGGAGGCTGATGCTGTTGAAAGGGTTTATTGCTGCATTGCATCTGTCACTTTCGGTTCTCAGTATTTCTGCAAAACCAGGAATGTCTACGGTAGGGTGAAAATCAACTGGCTTTTCTCAACTATTATGGTGGTTTCACTGCAGATACTGATTTTGAGCACAAAGTTACACTGAATTAAAAAGGACAGCTAACTGGTGAGGAGATGCCTGGTTTCTCTGGACAGAGGTGGAAATCTGCCAGGATTAAGCTCAACAATGCATTGCTGTGAAAATCTGTACAAAAAGCAGATCTTTGTTAAAAGATCCTAGGCTAAATATTTATTGGTTAAACTTCATCAGATTTTTGCATGACTAAGTGTCCCTCACGGCTTACATTAACATGTCTATCAAAGCAGTTTGTTTTGTTTTGATAAATGCTTACACAATATGGAGGTCTTACTTTCACCTGTAGATATCTGGGAGGTGTATGAGGTGGTGGCACATCACTAGGAGAAGGATGTTGTGGGCATCTAGGGCTTCTTTTATCCTTGGCTGGTCCCAGAGGTAGGCAACAGCACTCCGCAGCAAGGCTAAGGCATATCCTTGAAATACAAAATGCAGTGGTGAATATCAGATGAAGGCGGGTATAACTAGCCAGATACATGGCTTGAAATGCCCCAGCTTGCTTCCCCATTTTCCTCCTCCATTCCATGGAAGATGCTGTGTGTTGTGGTTGTGTCTGAGCATATCCCCTGCTGATGTGCTCTTGGCTTTAACTAAAGAGCTGGAACATGTGGGTGCTTCCTGACCAAGCAAACAAGGATGAATTTAGGAAGGGGAGGATTTGTTTTTGCAGATCATGCAGTGTAGATAGCTGGTGCCTAGAGGTGCACCCCTCGTTCCTGGTGGCCTCATCCAGGCGATGCTTCAGCCGCAGCTGAGTGCTGCAGGGCTGCACTTTGTTTTTGTTATTTTTTATGTAGCACTTTTTAAAGTAAAGCTCTTTTTCTGCTGTTGGAATGTGTGATTGCTCTGGACATATAAATTGTGTGAATAAATGAGCATGGAGCCCTGGTGGGTGAATTGGCTTCCCGATAAAGCCATAAATTTGGAGGATGCTGCTTTACCCTGCAACCACAGTGTGGGGTTGCTCCTCAGTGCCATGCCTGAAAACACAAGGGGCCAGGGAGAGGTCCCTGTATCTGGTAGTTTGGGGTTCTTGCTGGAGGTGAGATAATGTGAAAGACCATCTGCAGCCTGCAGGAGGAAACCCAGGCACAAACCCCAGCTCATCAACAAGCACAATGGTGGAAAGGGTGGAGGAGCCTTCAATTTAGGGAAAAGCTCATATTTTTCCCGCTTTCTGCTATGCTGCAGTTTGACCCTGGTCAGCCTCTGCTCCTCATTGTGTCCTTGGTGCATTAATTACCAATGCTGCAGGGCAGGAGCTGCCATTCCTCTGTGTCCTCCATGCCCTGTCTCATGTGATAAGGCCTTTGGGGGCTCCTGTAGTAAGAAGTGTCTGGGAAATAGGGGTGCTTCCTTTTGCCTCCCACTTCTCCTGCTGGAATCAGTGTTCACTGGTTTTCCAAGAGAAATCAGCTTCTTTTCCTCTGACTCTGTCCTTTTTGTAAGCAGAGCACGTGCCCTGCACAAATGGAGGAAGGGGGGGAGTGATTTAATATGAGCAATTTTGATATGATGTTGCGTGATCTGTTTCTTTGGAGAGGAGGAAAGGCTGGGAATTGGCTTGCTTGGTAGCAGTTTTGTTGGTTTTAACACCCCATCAACAATTTGGGCTCTTCCGTAGTTTCCCTATCACTTCCAGGCATTTTTCCATTAGGATTGATAATAGTTGATCAACTATGCAACAAGCAGTTCATTGCAGTGACTTGCTCACTTTTTGGGTGCTGAAAACCGAGGGGGCTGTATGTGCTTCTCTTTCCATGCTGGCTCTTGAGCATCTCCTCTAGATGCATGCTCCCTGCTTATGCCAGCACTGAAGATGGAGTCACTTCCACAGCCAAGAAGTAAATCTGGTTTTAAAAACCTCTCCAGCTTGCTAACCAAGGCTTTTGCACAATAACTGAATTTGTGGATAGAAGAGTGTATAATGGTGCCCTGAAGGCTAGGATCCCTGTGGGTCCAAGGTCTGCGAGAGCTGGAGCTCACACATAAGCAGCCTGGAGCCAGTGCCATGTGGGTACCCCAGACAGCAGATTTCCATCATCACAGCTCCAGTAGACCACTTTCAGCCGAGTTGTGTTCTGTGCTCAGGAGAACCCCAGAGCTGTTTTTGTTTGTTTGTGGTTTTGCTTTTTTGGAGGTTTTTTGGTTTTATTGCTTTGCATGGCTGAGCTTTAAAGGATATTTCCAGCCCTTGTTTGCCAGGAAAATACAGCATTGAAGGCCCTTTACTAATTAATTGTAATGGCAGGAGGGAATTGCTTTCCCATCATGGCTGCTGTGAAGATGCTCTTGAAAAAGAAAAAAAACCCCAAACTGCAGATGCTGCCAGGACCAGGAGATTGTTTAAAGATACTGTGCACTGTGAGTAAAACATTGACAACAAGCAAAACAAAACTTTTCCTTTTTCTTTTGCAGGGTCGTCATGTTAAAACAGGCCAGCTTGCTGCTATTAAGGTTATGGACGTCACCGGGGTAATGTATCCTCTTGCATCCTTAAATTATAGAAAAGAGGGGAAATGGGATGGGGTTGTGATAATGTGAGTGTTGGTGGAAGGCTTCTGTTCCTGGGATGCAAATCCCCTGTGCCTTAGTGTGAAATGTGCCATTAAGAGGTTTTGGTTTTAATAAATGTGTGAGAGAAAAATAAATCTGGAAGAGCTTGGGAGATTAAGTAATTTTATGCTGAAACAAAGCAGCATCGAGTTCCAGCAGTGGCTCTTTTGAATGTGTTAATAAAATCTGACGAAAATCGTAGGAACAGGATCATGTATTCATAACACATTTCAGTTTCTTCAAATCCATATTTTTCACTGAGAAGCTTTTGTTCACCAAAATTACGTGCAGGTATTGTTATGAATAACTTTACCAGTCAAGTTAAATTACCCCTGTGCATCCTGCTGATAAAGAGGAAAAAACACACTACTCTGGCCTCAGAAGTGTGGCTCTTTTAAAACTTGTATCAGAATAAGGCAACCAAGATTTTACAAGTTACTAAGGTGTGTAACAAGATTTAGAGGAAAGAATAGTTTCACCGTTTCCCAGTGGCCACAAAATAAAACCAAAAAAAAGAGTGGAATTGCTATAATCCCTAAAAACCTAAACAGATACATGTAAGAGGGTGACATGAAAGTGCTTTTTCATGCATAATTGTAAGTGCAGTATTATACATCCCAAAGTTCCTGCCTACATAAATAATGCCATTAAAATCTGGGAGTAAGAATGTGTTTTGTTATGTGGGGTTTTTCTTTCTTTGTTCTTTTGCGGTTTTGGGTTTTTTTTTAGTGGAATAAGACAAAATTCAAGGCTCAATCACATCTACCCACTTTATTTTTCACAATTAGTGATTTTTCTTAATTGGCTTTCAGGATGTTCAGCATATGCAGAATTGACTTGCTGTGAAAGGCAGTCACCTGTCCTCAGGAGTGTGTTTTGAAATACTCTAGATGTTGTGTTTGGTGTTAATATCTGTAGGACCTTGAGGTTCTTTTTTGTGCTAATAGGTGACAAGATGTGTTGAACTAAATCTGTAAATGTGAATGAGATCTGTTTCTGTTTACTTGCAATAGTTGCAAGTGCCATTTATCTAGTTCTCATGGAAGCAGGCTCTAACGGAATGGGCAGACAGTGTGTCTTGGAATCCCGCAGAGAATAGAATTAGTGTGGTTATCACAGCCATAGCCATCTGCAGTTTCATGGAGGAAGTTTTTGGAATGTAAAGCCCCCATGTTTTAAGTGCGCTCCCAAGCCAGTGTCTCATTCCAACTACGTGCCTTGCACTAAGCCCCCAAAGGCTTCTGACAATCATGCTTTGTTTAACTCATCTGCGCTCTTGCTAATTATCTGTTAGGGAAGATTGCAGCATAGAGGCCCTCAAATTACACCACATGATTGTTTAGGGCAGGCACTATCTCTGAATTAAGAATTTGGATTCATTTTCCAGGGGCTGGTCCTGCTGTATGCCGCATGACCTACTTCCAGCAACAGATGTAACAGAATTGATTGGTGAAGGCAAAGTGTGGCAGCAAAACCTCGTCTGTGGGTTTTGTCAGTTTTGGGGTTGGAGTAGTACAGCAGTTCACTATGATAATTCCTTTTTCTTCCCTCCTTCACTGGATTTACTGGTGGTGATTGCTGGCAGTAGGCCCTCTTGGAGCAGGAGGTTGAGCTGGAGACCCTTAAGCCTGGCTGTACAGATGTGTCCTTGGGTGCCATCCACAGCTCTGATGCTTTGGAGGTTACATTTCCTCATTGTGAATACTTCAGCCTGAAGAAGGATTCAAGATAAAGCCTTAGATCAAGTGTCCCTTAAGTGCCTTATCTCCATTTTTCCTAGAGAGCCAGGAATGAGGTGGGGGATGACTGAAGAGCTGGCCAGTGGTACTCGGGGAGCTGGTGAGGTTTTGTGCTGACCACCCCTCCTTGCTCCCAGCATTGTTGAGCATCCACCTGTTTTTTTTTGTTGCAGAGGGCATGGGGCCTGATAACTTGTTCTTTTCCCTGGTTTCCTGGGCAAATGAAAGCAAGCAAAGTTGTGTTGACTGCTTGAAGGAAAGAGGTGCTAAAGGTCTTTTAGAATAATTCCCGGGTTTTCCTTGTAATGTTTGGGCCTGTTCCTTATCCTCTTTGGTGCTTACACTCTCCATGTTTTTGCCAAAGATGAAATTGGAGTTTGTTTATACAAGCTCCACCTAGCTACTACTTCTGTTTGTTCCTTCTGTCATCATCTTCACTGTTCTTTCCTGAATTCTCTCTGGAAGACTGTAGTCATCAAACCACTTTCTGTGGTAGTTTGGGAAGAAAGCCGTGTGTCTGTCTGTATTGCATGACACCCTGTCAGGAAGCACCGCTGTTTGCCAGGGTGTCTTGTCCTTTGTTTGTAAAACTGAAGTCTGGATGAAGCAGGTGAGGGACACAAAGGTAATAAAGAAGTAACAGTCCTTCTGGTCCTTTTATGATAAAGCTTATTGACATCAAGGCGCTAACTGCTGCTCCACAGCTTGCAAAATTAAAGTGGGCTGGAATTCAGTCAGCTTAAAATAAAACCAGGGCATGTTTGGTGGTCATGAAAGCAAAGAGCTAGGACATCAAAACAGGTATCAGTGCAGTTCCCCTGCCTTGACTGCTTCAACTCTTGCCGCGTTGAAGACAGGACAGAGAGAGGCTGTGGCAAACCACAAGAATAATGCTTGTCACCAGAGCCAAGTTAGTCTGGTGAAGAGTTTGTGCACAGGCAGCATCAGCCTCCTACCCGCATGGTGCCACCAACAGCACCTGGTGTCCTCAAACGTCTTGTGCTGCTTCCAGAGCAGGGTATTGGATGGCCAAGATACAAAGTGCAGAGCACTTCTGCCATGCAGTGGTTTCAGGAAAGCCATCTTCTTGGGCCTCTGGTGGATTCAGGACTGTGTATATCTGATGCATTATTTGGGTAACACAAGTATGGTTGAGCTTACGAGCAGCACAAGACTGATGTAAGTTGTGGTATGAATCATAAAGGAATTAGTGTAAAAAGATGGAGGAATGTCTAACCTGCTGAAAACATGCAAGTCTGGCATTGGTGCACCTCTGAATGGAGAACATGTCTCCATGTGAGAGCTCAGTTCCTGGCCAAACTTCCCTTTGCGTGGCCAGCTCCTCCTGGCATATACTTACAATTGCAGACATTCAGCTGCTCAGGAGCTTCCCAGGGCACTCTGCTCTGGCCTGTGCTGCAGTGTTTGAAGCAGCACACAGGGATGGTGGGTCATTAACCCATGTGTGAGGACTGCTGCCCCCTTAAGCTCTGCCAGCACCTTTGGGATCCTGCTCTGGAGGAAACGGAGGACCTGAGCCATTTGGAAACTACCTGATTTCCATGCTGCCTGAAGATCTGTCCAGTTCAGTGCTCAGAAATGAAGCAGATGCTTCAAAGCCTGTGTTTTCTCCTTATCTTTTTACTCAAGGAGCAGCCCATTAGTCTCCAGTCTGAGGGTTTGGCTGCAAAAAGTGGCTGTAAAAAGCAGTTCAAGAAAATTTGGGAGAGTTCGGTCGGAAATGGGGGGCTTGGAATTTCACCAACGTACACAGAGAACTGGGAGCCTGTGAAGTGCAGTCTTTTAGAGCCTCTGGTTTTTCTTTTTGCCTCATCCCAGGATGAAGAGGAAGAGATCAAACAAGAAATTAACATGCTGAAGAAGTATTCTCACCACCGAAATATTGCTACTTATTATGGTGCTTTTATTAAGAAGAACCCACCAGGAATGGATGATCAGCTCTGGGTAAGTTGCTTTCTTTTCTTTAAAACAACTGTTTTTTTTGATACAAATTATTTACTCCACGTTGTCCTCTTACCACCACCCATATTGCACAAAAATATCTTATTTTGCACGTCTTTGTCAGAGCCATGGCTTTGAAAAGGCTCTTCCTGCACTGCAAAATGCCATGAAATCTTTGCAAACTGATGATAAAACCATTTCTATTCTGAATCGTCACTGACATCTTTGTTACAATTTTCAACTGAAAATTATTCCATCCCATGAAAATAAATGCATCCAAAAAAAAAAACCCAAAGCAGTTGGAGGGAGCCGGGAGCATTGCTGGGAAGGTGGAGGCTGGAAGGAGGATACTGGGCAAGTGTGATTTGTGCTAGCTCTCAGCACTGCTTCTCATGCTTAATCTTGCATGGAGCCAGTGCATACGAATAAAGAGGAGAGGGACGGCAAAGGTTGAGCAGGAAGGTCTGTGGCTGTTCAGCTAATTCAGTGAGGATGCCTCATTTGCTGAAGGGCTGCAAGCTGCTTTGCCTGTCTGTAAATCCTTGGGTGCTTCCTCCACTTCTCCCCTTGTCGGTGGCTTGCTGGTTGTTGTTGGAGCATTGGAGCTCACCTCCTTGTGGGCAGCTGCCTGGTGCTCACCTTGGCTGGGCAGGGTGGCAGGCACCACAGGTTAGGGCTCTGGACACTGCCATAAGGGCATGGAGAATTATTTAAAGTTACTGTGCTGATCTGAGTCTGTGGAGCAACAGCCTGCAGCCCCCATAGGTGTCTGACCAGCAGTCTGAGACCCTACTTGCATTAGTACAGCATTAAAGAGAAAGCTGTGTTTGAGTTATCTTGAATATAATAACCTGGATGTTGTCATGTAGTCTAAATGGAGTTTATTTCCTCACAGTCTTTTAAATCCAGTCAGTTCTGACCTAACTGCAGGTGGTTTCCAAAGTTTTATGTACCTGAACAAGATTGCTAGAGTCTAATTTTTCAGGGGTAGCAAATATCCATGGTTCATCCACAAGACCATGGAGACGCTGAAGAGCAGCAGCATGCTCCTCCCTGGAGTTTCTGTGTAATCTAGGCTTTATTCTAGCTAAAGGTTCAGTGGCTTCAGCAGTTTTCCCCTGCATCCGCATGCCAGAGCATCAGGGACAGTGGCAGCTGGGGGGTTTTGGTGAACACTCGTTCTGGGACAGAAATGGAGCTGATGGGCTTCTGCATCATTTTGCTACCAGGACTTTCTGCTACACTGAATTATTGGAAGACTTGGGGTCTTGGACTCCAGGGACTTTTCTTACTTGGGTGTTGGGGTTATTTTTGGTGGGAACTCTTAAAAAACATGTTCTTTTCAGCTTGGCTGGGATTCAGTGAGGAGAAAGCTGTCAAGCTGAGAAATGCCTTTTCATCCTGTGAAATTCCATTTGGCTTTAGCGGGTTATAATCTCCTTTAAAAAAAGAGTAAAATAGAAAACCAACCCACAACATTTCCCCTGGTGCTGCTGAAGTGCCTGGGGGAAGAAAGAGCCCACCAACTGTGTGCCAGAGTCCTCAATAGCAACAGAAGCCCTCCCTCAAGCTGGGCTTTGCTCAGTGCCTTTATGCTGCTTGGGTTTAGGGTTAGCATGGTCTGAAGAGGATTTGTTGTGTTTGTTTTTTCTTCAGCTCTGGTGCAAAAAACTCTTGACATGTAAAAGTGATAATAAAATAATGGCTTTTTTTAAATGATTGTCCCATCCAGAGCACCCCAGACCTCCAAAAAGAAAAGCTCTGTAGAAAACTTCCGATTAAGAGAGGTACTTTCATCAATCCCCATCATCATGAAAGAGCAGAAGATGCTGTATGTGCTGTAACACCTTCAGATGCCCAAAGTCAGGAGGAGAACCTTGGTCTTCCCTGGTGGGTCACCCAGCCATGCAAGGGGAGAAGGTGTTCACCCAGCTGTGCTGCTTCTCTTACCGCTGGAAAAGGTGGACTATATAATCTGGATTCCCTTTCAGACAGCTAACTCTGCTCTCAATTCTGGGGCCTCTCTCATGGGCTTGCGATACAAGTTCTTGCAAAAACTGCTTTTCTTGCACTGAAGAGTGCTGGGGGGTGAGGTTTTTGTAAGTCCATGCCCAGTGCTGAGGCTGTTTGAGGTATTCACAGGAAAGCTCCCTGGCTGTGGAGGAGACCTGTGCTGGTGGCGTTGTGTTAAATAGCTGTTGTTGCAGGATCTGATTGAATTAGGACTTGCATGAACTCTATCAGTCTTGTTGCACAGATAAAGGCTTGTTTATTTTTCATTGTCCCTTTGTTGAAATAAAGCGGTTTCTGATAATGCCCAAGTAATTCTTTTTATCGACATTCAGGAGACTGATACGGAAATAAAAAACAGGGAGCTCTTTCAGTGGAGATTAAGATCTCTCGGAAAAGCAGCAAGCTTCTGATATGAAGTATTGTCATCGCTTCTGCCGCTGTGATGAGCAGGTGTTTTGGTGCTGCTGCTCCATTTGCCAGCAGCCACTTGCCTGAAAGACGAGTCTACGGAACAGCCGACTGTTCCTCAAATCAAAGAGGTGCACGGAGGATACCTTAGCAGATGACAATGGCGATGTACATCACAAATCCGATATGTTGAGAAAAAAAAGGAAGTAAAAGTCACAGTGGCAACCTTTTTGAAAAAAGAGGCAGGCTTATTCCTGTGTTGGATAAAGTGTTACTTTCTGGGGGGACTGTGGACCTTTAGGGGAGATTGTGCCTGTCTCTGACTGGGACAGAGGGGTCCTGTCCAGGGGGATCTGTGGTGCAAGGGGCGAAGAGAGGGAAGGCTGCAGAAGTTGGGGAAGTGACCCAGGGACTGGTGAGGACCCAGTTAATCAGTTAACTGCTGTTTCTTGGAGTTAAACTCATTAAATTCCCCGTGCTCATCTCAGATTTAAAGTATGGGTTACTAGGCTGCATGTAACCCAGGGGGGTTGTGTTGAGATATTTGGAGGGGGCGGGGGGAGGTTGGTAGTAGGAGATGGGGCATTCATTTGTGTGAACTTGCTGGGGTAGGTGACCCCTTCCCAAAGGACCTTCTCAGCATATCACCCACCCTCACAAGCTGCTGGAAGCTGCAGGCTCTCTACATCATTCCCATAATTTTAACACAGTGTATACATCTGCAGGTCAATAGAGGTGACATTTCAGCTGGATGTTTGTCATCTGCCCTTGCCACCCATGGTGCACTGAAACCATCAATGGAGAAGCCCTGGCATGCGTGGGCAGCAGGCAGAGCGTGGGGGCTGGCGGCATCCCAGGGCATAGCCTACCCTGTGTAGTCCCCAGGGACCAGCGGTGCTGGCTGCAGATGGATGGCTGCCGTGGCAACTCTGCCTGCACCTGGAGCCACATCTGTCACAAAAAGGGGGAAAATTGCTAATATTCAGGTTGCCAAATACCTGCTCATGAGGAGCATGTTGGTGTGGCCTCTGATGTGTCATCTGGGGCGATTCTGGGCAAGAAGGAATTAGAGTGATTTAGGACCAGTGGCTAAGTCAGGATGGCACTGCTGCAGCCATGCAGCACTCAGGGCTGTCACCGTGTAGTTGCAGTGGGTTTTTTCACTGTGTTGAGCTGTAGAGGCCTATTGAATCATGGCAGGGTGGTATGAACAGTCACAGTGAGGACCTGGAGAGCAAAAATGGGGGCAGGGAGGCTCCACTGAAAACGTTGCACAAGCCATCGAAGCACTGGGTGACACCTGTGCAGCTCGGAGCAGGATTGCTGTTAATCTGCTTATAGACACTGAAAAATATTTTTGGACAGTTGCTGATAACCTTACATCACAGGAATTAGATCATTAAACATTTGAGAGGGAATGTTTTTTGGCTGAGCTGTAATTCTCCCTAGTCCCTCCAAGCTTTGCAGTCCCAGGGGAGTGGGGCTGCTCCTCCAGCCCCTGACCGAGAGCCTGGGGTAAGCAGGAAAGGCTTTCGGCTGCTGTCTGGCTGAGTAAGCCAATGCTATTTCATTCTCACTCCACTTCAAAGCGGTGTCAGTTCTGTAAACATTGCAAGACTGGTAGCATGGCTCCTTTCACTGCCATCCCTACGCCCAAAGCTTTCAGCCTGCTCTGGACCTGTGGTGGCAGCTGCCCGCCAGCTCCCCAAGGGGCAGGAATTGCTTGGCTGGCCTCAAAGTGTGGGGAGGTACAGGCAGGGCACAGCCAGGCAAGTAATTTATTTATGAGAATATGCAAGAGCAGTTTGCTGCTGGTTTTGGAGAGGAGAACTCAGAGCAGCATTGGCCCCCACCCATGTGTGCTGCTGCAGCAGCATCGCAGCCTGCTCCCGCTGTAACACCAACACAGGCAATTAAAACCTGTGCTTATCTTCCTACAGAGCATTGCTGCATAATAGCAACTCCATGGCTATTTTTCTGTTTCTGAAATGGGCATCAGCTTTTCTGCTGATCCACCAAGTGAAAGTCTCTGCGTTGTTTTTTTTCAATGCTCTATCGCTGGCTCCATGTGCCACGATGTGTGTGATGAGGGAGTCTGTTGCGAGGGAGCCGGGCTGTGGGGTGAGATGGGAGGCTTGAGTGGCCTGGGTGTATGGGACTGCATCGCTCCTGTGTTCTGTTTACACACACAGCAGGACAAAGTATTTCCAGCATCATTCAATCATGGCATGTTGCATGTTTGTTTTCTGTAACTTAGAGAAGCCACTTTGTTCCTGGGGTGAGGAATAGAAACATGGAAGGATTTGGCTTACAGAACAGGGATTTGAATTATTTTGGGGGGTTTCTCTGAACAAGCTGGAGCAGTTCACCAGTTGCTGGACTGGGATTTCTATCCTGGAGATACTCAGGTTTGAGCCCTTCCATGGGGAAGGGATGGGAGCAGAGGTCTTACTGGCCATTCCCAAACTGGGGAAAGTGGTGGTTGATTTGAAAACTGCAAAGCCTCTTTAAACAAAAAAATCGTGAGACAACAGGGCACAGAATTTACAGCTGCTGCTTCTGAATTTGCCTTGCTTATGAAGTTTGCTGTCACTCTGATATGAAGAGCTAAGTAAATGCTAAATGAACTGTATTTAAAAATACTTCCTAGACAAATAGCCTTGCAAATTAAATTTCAGAAGATGATCTTACCTTTAGCCTATCTTGATAATTTTAATTATGGTTAATAAAAATTCAATCTGCATTTCAAGTTTGTTGTCCTACCACATCATGAGTTCATCCTTTAACTAAAGGTTGGTAATGCTACATGTGTGTGCAGGGCAAAGCACTCACCTAAAGCCTTGGGACTGGAAAGAAGGTGTCTTAGTATAAGTACCATTTGAAATCTTGCGTGAATATGCTAAGCTCTGCCCTAAAATCAGCTGAAACTTTTGTTCCCTTTTCTCCTATAAGACAGTTTGTTGGTTTCCAGCCTAAATATATCCATCAAGTGTTGATATTATGCCAGTACTTTGTTCTTCTCTCTCTCTGGTGCTTAATTGTCCACACTGTTGACAGTATACGCTCATACCGTGTAGTCATCCATTCCCTGGCTGCCTGAACAAGTCCTCAGGTCCTCTGAGAAGAGCTGATCATCCTCCTGCACCTGCTCCAGTATGCATTTATGGTTCATAAGCTCCATCATGCAGCAGGACACAGTGCTGTGGGTGAGAGCTCACCTGGCCTGTTGGCATGACTCCTTAGCCATCACCTGTGTTGCTGTTCTTTGGAGTGCCTTTCTGTTAGTAGCACATGCAAAATGCTGAGCCCCCTTGGCCCCTGCCCAGCTGGATCTGGAGCCTGCTGGTACTGCCAGAGATCTGCTGGTACTGGGTATTTTCCTATGGATGTCCCTGCCCATGGCAGGGGGGTTGGAACTAGATGATCTTAAGGTCCTTTCCAACCCTAACTGTCCTATGATTCTGTGATGTTACAGGACTGTGGAGCTCTTAAAAACCCGAGTTGTAAACACATCCCATGGAGGTTTCTCTTTCCCTCTCCCTCTCCCTTCCCTTCCCTTCCCTTCCCTTCCCCCTCCCCTTCCTCCTCTCCTCTCCTCTCCTCTCCTCTCCTCTCCTCTCCTCTCCTCTCCTCTCCTCTCCTCTCCTCTCCTCTCCTCTCCTCTCCTCTCCTCTCCTCTCCTCTCCTCTCCTCTCCTCTCCTCTCCTCTCCTCTCCATTTCTATTTCCCCTCCCATTCCCTTCCCTTCCCTTCTCCTTTCTTGATTTCTCTGTCCTCTTCTCCTCTCCTCTCCATCTCCTCAAGATTTCACAATTACAGATTAGGAATATATCAGCAGTTGGCCATATTCACTTCCTGGTGCAAAATTAATCTTTGCTGTGTGGAAATCAAGGACAGGGCAGAGGACTGCATGAACTGCCAGCTCCATAAAGATAATCTGGCAAGTTAACAGATACACTGTGTACTTTTAGTGGGATTTCTTCCACCTTCTTTTAAGCATTGTGATTGCTGTATACACAGCATAGCGTGCCCTTCCTCTTCATCCTGCTCCAAACCTTAGTGAGAGCCTGTGAATGAATTTCCATGGAAGGGGACTGGAGAGGGCAGCCTTTTGGGTTGGAAAGTGTTTGTGGCTAGCTCAGCTATCCAGGGTTTTCCTTTCAGAGCTTGCTGCCATGGTATCCCAAATGTTCATTTAATCAGAAACATGTGCAGACACTGATATTCCCCATGCGTCAATCATTCAAAGGGAAGAAAAAAAGGAAGAGTGGCTTTGGAACTGGCTGTTCCATTATTCCCTGTTGGTGAGCAGTAAGTAACCTGTGACTTAGGCTGTGTCCCAGTGACCCAGCTGGGTTGCTTGTCTCCTCTTGGGGTGGGAGAGCTGCAAGTTCTGAAGCAGCATCCCTTGTTCTTGCATAGGGCAGGCTTTGGCTAGTGACACATCTATTTTTGAAGCCAGTTTTCTGACACAACAGGGACATACAAATAATTTTTCAGCTGTCAGTTTAGGAAAGGAAGACAGACTTGATATCAAAACTGAAGATAGGAGCATTGTCAAACCCAGCTAAGGTATAGTCTGCTCAAGTATGGTGTTTAATGTGAAGGTTTATAGCAGTACTATATCTGTATTTTATGGTTGTTTATGATAGTCTTTTGAATTACTGCATTTGAGCCATTTGGTTAGCAGTAACTCTTTCACAGTTTATTTCTCTGCTCTTGGCCTATGCTTTTAATACAGTGATGTTACTTGCTTGTAGAACATCAAATGCCATGTAAGCTTCTCATGATAAGAAACTAAACGCACACATAGAAGAATATGGCAGGGCACAACTCATAAGGGAATATCTTTTAGTAGCAAGCTGATCTAATTAGAAAATGTGGTTTAACATCTGAGAGAAACACTTGCACAGGTTTTAGAGGATGCTTGTTGCATGCATGGGCTGTGCTCCCTTTCTGGAGCACACTGATGGCTCCTGTGTGCCTTAGGGTCCATGATGTCCCTGGGAGGCAGACACACCCTGTGTTGTTTTTATAACATTTATTTCACAGTTGCTGTATGATATTAAGTCTGGGCCTGGGTTAGATCACTGTACTTCTATATTTAATTTTGTGAAACTTTGAAAGTGGTACAACCGGTGATGCCCAGTCTTGTTTGTACCAACCTGAGCAGCAGGATGCCAGCTTTGTCCTGGACAGGCTGAAGCTACTTGGCAAGCTTTCCCTCAAAGAAGGTTTCCTGCCCAAAAAGGTGATAAAACCCAAAGACCTTCTGGTTAAAAAAATACAAAATAAAAATTGAAAAGTGTACCTGTTTTGTAAGGTTGTAGGAAGCTTTCAAATGTCTGTCTTGTTGCCTTCACACTTTCAGAGTTGAAGAACTTACATGCTAGAGTTTTGCTTGTATTACTGTTTATGCTAAAGATTGATTATAAGTATAAAGTAGGGTATGTAGTGGTGGGGTCTTTCAAGGTGGGGAGATTTCAAGGTTTCCACTTTCCTCTGATGATTTTCTGCATTGGACTGATCACTGTTTCTTGTTCCAAATCTTCTGGAGAGCAACAAGCCTTTCAAGCCTTCCAGCCTTCTACTGTTTCACTTTTACAACAGAACCTATGTGGTTTACAAGCTGATAGGCTCAAGATTATGTCCCAGTGGCTCTGCATAGCAGTGTGGTCGCCCCACAGTTGCATTGCCAGTGTCAGGGTCCTACCCTGAGGTCAGGCAGCCTGGAGGATCCTGTCACTGTAATTACAATAATTGCATTTTTGTTCCATTTGGCAGCTGGTGATGGAGTTCTGCGGTGCAGGCTCTGTCACTGACCTCATCAAGAACACGAAGGGGAACACCTTGAAGGAGGAGTGGATTGCGTACATCTGCAGAGAGATCTTACGGGTATGTGCTCAGAGGGAGCTGAATATTGGGTGTTGCTGGAGTGTTGCAGCTGGTGCTCAGGAGACATGGAATGACTGCCACGCTGCCATGGGCTGGAGCCTTTAGCTAAGAGAGCCCTTTAGCTCTCTTAGTTCCCTGACTTCTAATCCTCTTTATTCCTTCAACAAAAAAAATAATAATAAATCCTTAGTATTAATAAGGCAAAGATTTATTTACATTAGAATTATATTTTCAATTGACAGAAAGGTGAGCACTAATAAAGTCTGTGGGTAGAATCTTCTTTATTCAAACGCACCCTATGTTTTATTAAATCCACATATCTCTGTCTTTAATGAGGATGCTGCAACTGTTATACCCACAAGATAAATGTTTGACTGGAATGTCTTAAAATGGGCTGTGCCAGAGTCTTGTACTAGGAGACATCAGCTTCAGCAAAGGCTTGCTTGCATTTTGCACAGCTGAGGTTTTATGATGTGATAGGAATGGTTGCCCAAAATTAAAGCCTGTCATTCCATGAACAGAGGTTTTGTTCAAGAAGAAACAGAAATATTGAGCATGTGAAGAAAACCCTGAAGAAGAGCATTCTTCAAGTGATAGGATGAGAAAAAACAGCCTCAAGTTGTGCCTAGGAAGGTTTAGATTGGGTTCTAGGAAAAACTGCCTCACCGAAAGGGTTGTCAGCCATTAGAACAGGTTGCTCAGGGAAGTGGTGGAGTCACCATTCCTGGAGGTATTTAAAAGACATGTGGATGTGGTGCCTGGGGACATGGTTTAGTGGTGGATTTGACTTGGCACTGTTAGGTTTATGGTTGCACTTGATGATCTTTTCCCATCTAAACAAGTATGATTCTGTGGAAGAAAGTAAGGCAAGATGACTGCTCCAGAAGGAGGTGTCCAACACTGCCACTGAGGCTGCTGCTTGTGTCTAGAGGTGACACAGCACTTCCCTGTTGACCAATATGATGGGCAGATGTGGTGCTGTAGCTAATCATCTGTTGTGTGGACACTGCTTTCAGTGCCAGAAAGCCAGTTATGCAGGCTTATTTAAATGTATGAGCAATGTGAGCCTACTTTTTAAAATAGTTCCTGGCAGTGAGTCAGAACCCAGCCACTGAATCAGGTCCCAGGGCCACTGTTGAGTGTCATCACTATTATTTTGGCCATGCATTGGGCATTGGTTGGCAACCTCCATAGGGTTTCAGGTGATGAAAGGTTCCCAGTTTCCTGATGGAGAAGGTGGCTCGGACTTTGTTCAGACGTTGGCAGCCAATTGTAATTCTGACACAAAGCTCAATCTCATGTTGTTCAAGCATTTATTGAAATTCAGTGAGATTTTTGTTTTGTCTCCGATGCACAGAGGTGCCTCTAACATGACTAAAAAAGGGCTCCCCTACAGATTCCACAGTTGTATCCCAGGGTAACAAGCATAAAATGACTACTGACTACCAGTGGTGATAGCAGAAATTACTTTCTTCCTCAAATATGAATGTTTAATGTGAAATATAAACCTAATGCAAAATTAGGTTTTGAAGTAATCCATACTTTTCCTATGCTCGCGGTATAGATGGATGTTACTTTGAAATAATAAATTAATGAAATAAAAATGTAGGTTGCAAAAAGAAATTAATGAGTTAATAAAAAGAAGCAGAACAGAAAATCTAGTTTACTTTTGGCCTTTGCAGCAGGCTTTTATTTTGACCTATATCTCTATTACAAGGATGTGCAAGTTATAACATTTGCATTTGCATGGTAGCTTTTTTCATATAAGCTTTTCAGTGTATTAAAGACCAGTTTATTGAACCAATATAACAAGCAAATTGTTTTCTTCAGTTTCTGGATGATGGGAATACAGAAAGGAGACAAAAGCATTCTGTTATTTTTGTCACTGAAATGGCTCCCTAAGGCAAGGGACACATGGGGGAAAATACGTCTAGACTACAGAGGAATTTGGGTTAATATGAGTTACTGCAGAAACTGAAAGGTTGGGTTTAATCCCTATAGAATTGACGCTTCTCCTGCAATGGGGATCACCCACTGCAGCGCATATAGTCTATCGGTGGGCCTTTTGCTTGCTGGGCATGTCCTCCCAGTGTGTGACATAGGGTAAAATTTTGAACACACACTAAACAAAAGCATTCTGAAGTGGTTAGCTCCAACTGTGAATCTTTCGTTTCCGGAGTGTAATTGCTTAAGGAGGAATGTCCAGAAATGACATGCTTTGAACTTGGATTCCTCTAACCTTTCTCTGAATTCTCTAGGGCTTGAGTCATCTACACCAGCACAAAGTAATTCATCGAGACATCAAGGGACAGAATGTGTTGCTGACAGAAAATGCAGAAGTTAAACTAGGTAAGAGTGGGTTAGAGCTCTTGGAAACTGTAAGTGAGCTGGCTGGAAAGAAGCATCAAAACTAACTTGTATACAGCTTGGAGAAAGGGGATGGATACTGAGATCTACTCTTATGTTTTTTCTCATGCCAGTCTCAATAACATGACCTTGGGTGTTGACCAAGTGCTGTGTTATAAACTGCTAGGGGTTGATGGCCGAGTTCTGCCTGCAAAGATGTACTTGTAGTTGTGTTTCTGTTCAGAAAGGTAGTTTGGGCAGTTCTTTCATCAGATACAGGTTAAGCAAGTGACCATTTTTTCATGCCTCAGACTGAAAGTTGCCCTGTGTGCATTGCCAGACATTATCAAAGTCTGTTCCCCCACAGCTTCATAGAAGTGTCCTACAGATCACAATTCATTCAATCCAGACTTATTTTTCAAGCCAACTTGTTAGAGACAGCTTAATTTTCAAGAACTACTCAGGCTTTCATAGGTGGGTGTTAGTCACCCTGGGGAAGACCAGGCATTCATGTAAAGATCACGTGGAAGACAGCAGTTCAGCATAGATGATGTGCTGATATTCTCAGTTGTCCAGCACCAATGTTAAAGCTGGTTTGCATGTTTTAATTTTCTGCTAGTGATGGAAGATCATTTACACTGGTAAAGTGAGGTACAAGCCTTGTTTTCCCATCTCTCTCTTTACAGCAGAATAAATCCCTATCTTAACAGATGGTACCACCAGCTCATTTGGCTGTATGCTGGCGAAGATTCCCCTCCAAGGGGAAATTCTCCAGGGCAAATCTCCAGCCATTGTGCTGCACAAAGTGAACTTAGTGGACCATAGAGTATTCTGTCACTGGTTTGATTTCATCAGGTTTTGCAGCTCTCTGCTTGACATTTCCCTATGGGCCTTTGTCCTTGGCCCTTAGTTCCTGAAGTCTTTTGCATTTCTACCATTTCCAGTAAGAATTTAGGTAGAAAAATGAGGCTTCTACCAATACTTGACAGGCTTTAATTCAAATGAGAAAGCATAGAATAAAGGCAGTGGCTTATTCATGTCGATAACCCTGTTTCTTATTAGTATGAGGAGCTGTGATTTCTTTTTATTGCCTCCTGGCAAGGAGGAAAAGGCACAGGGTTTCATACGAAACCTGGACATCAGGGTTTGTCCTTGAATGACCTCTGTTGATCCCGGCAAAGATCAAAGAGGAATATCTGTGGCTACATATTTCTTTCCTGACCACACAGAGGAGTTGATCTGAATGAACTCAATGTTTTACATTCAACAGAAGGGTGATTCTTAGGTTTGTTTCTGACCTTACAATGCCCTATTCTGTCTGATCCACAGTGGATTTTGGTGTCAGTGCTCAGCTGGACAGAACAGTGGGCAGGAGAAACACCTTCATTGGAACGCCTTACTGGATGGCCCCTGAGGTCATTGCCTGCGATGAAAATCCTGATGCCACTTACGACTTCAAGGTACCTAAACAAGCATCCTCCTACTCATTTATATGTCATTACAGATGTAATCTTTGCAAAGTCTAGCAAGTCTACTAGTAAGACAGGGAAGAAATTAAAAGCAGCACTTATCGGAGCTTGCAATGAGAGTTGTGATCATAAACACCTGAAATAAGTGCTTGGTATAATCTCAGATTTTATGCCCCAGTAACATTAACTTGAGCACTTAGGGATTTCGTGTATTTTGCAGCTTGGAAAAACATGTTGACAAGCAGCATAGTCTCCTCCTGCTTTCTGTGTGTTGGATTTTGAGGTGCCAGTTCAGGTCCAATGTGAATCTGTGTTGTGCCACTCATGTATCCAAATTTACTGTGAAGAAGTCTTTCCCCATGTTAAGAAAGGCGTCAGACTGAGGCTTCCTATCTCCCAGCCTGCTTTTCAGTGCTGCATGTTTAAATACTACAGTCAAACATGCTGTATTTGCTCCATTTCGTGAGGGGAAAGGAGGGGCGTCCATGAGGGGAGATCGTGAGAAGAGAGACAAGCAGTGGTAATGAGGGGAAAGGAGGGTGGCCATGAGGGGAGATCATGAGGGGAGACGAGTGGTGGCCATGAGGGAAGATCGTGAGGGGAGAGAAAGGGTGGCCATGAAGGAATATTGTGAGGGCAAAGGAGGGGAAGCCACGAGGGAAGATTGTGAGGGGAGTAGAAGGATGGCCATGGTGGGAGATCGTGAGGGAGAGCAGGGGCAACCATGAGGGGAGATCATGAGGGGAGAGGAGAGGTGGCCATGAGAGGAGATCGTGACAGACAAGGAAGGGCGGCCATGAGGGGAGATTGTGAGGGAAGAGGAGGGATGGCCATGAGGGAAGATCATGAGGGGAGAGGAAGGGCAGCCATGAGGGGAGATCATGAGGGAAGAGGAAGGGTGGCCGTGAAGGGAGATCATGAGGGGGGAGGAAGGGTGGCCGTGAAGGGAGATTGTGCGTTGAGATGAGCGGTGGCCAGGCTGAGCAGGGGCAGCCATGGGATATGAGGGGATCACCATGAGGAGCAGTTGTGAGGGGAGATTGTGAAGGGAGATCATAGGGTAGAGGAGGGATGGCCATGAGGGGAAGGGTCAGCAGCTCTACAGTGTGGGCCACTGTGGGTGGCAGATGAGGGGTGGCTGCAAGTGGAGATTGTGAGGGGCAGCCATGCAGTGAGATCAGTTTGCCCTTAGTGACATGGTTTAGTGGTGGTCTTGGCAGTCCTGGGGTAATGGTTGGACTTGATGATCTTAATGGCCTTTTTCAACCTGTTGATTCTGTGGTTCTGTTTGCTCTGGAGGGAAGTCAGGTCAGGTTTAGAAAGGGCAAAATCATGTCTCCTGGCCTGCAGGCTGGTATTCGCAGAGAGATCTGAAGGCTACCACACAATCCGAGGTTCAGGGACCTGACCTACTTTTCAGGTGTCTAGCCTGTTTGAAGTTTATTTTTGGATTGGTGTCAACAGAGCAGTGCTGCTGAGTTACAGTGTGGCACAGAGCAGGTCCGCTGGAGGGTTAGGAATCCCACCTCCCCTTTCACACAAGAGCAAGTTGTGAGGATTAAAACAGGAAGAGCTTAATGTACTTTATCCTGTTTCTGCCTTACTGCAAGTTTCTGAACACACATCTATAGAAATGTCCCTTGGAGGTTTTTTTGTCCCTTTGTTTTTTGAAGCATCCAGAACTTGAATTTCTAGCTCAAAACCCCCTAAGGTGCACTGAGGATGTCCAGAGAGGAGAGTAAGACACTGCCACATAAGCTTTGGGAAAAGAAGCTCAGACACATAAAAGCTCACTGTAGCTCTGATCATGTGCATGCTGAGAGCTCACTTTGCAAGGTAATGTTTAATAAGGGCTTTGAGCCCCTCTAGTGTGGAGCAAGGTGGCTGCTTTCTAACAGTAGGACATGGCAATGTAGTAGTGCAACAGCCCACCATCGTGGCACAATTTGGACTGCCATTACAAATCACTCAGAGAAGTTTTTGAGAGGTGAAGGATTTTAAAGTAACCAAGCTATGACTTGGTATTGCAGCTATTTGAGTGCATCAGTCAACTTTTGAACCGATGGTTTTTCCAGGGAGCAGCTCTCCATTCTGAGTTCAGACTCTGGGTTACATAAATCATTAATGATAAGGACATGTAGAAATAGTTTAATCCGCAATTACTTAATGCTCTTTGATTAACCAATTACAACAGGCATTTCCTCAGCTCTGCTGATGGCAGTGCTTCTTAGCAGGGCTACGGCCTGCGCTAGCTGCTCTTGGTGCTTCTCCACTGGCAGCTGCCTGGTGCAACACTCTATTCACAGCTTTTTTTCTCTTCACATTGTTTTTCTCTTTAAAAGGACTGATATCTTCGTAGGCTACGTTCTCCCCTCAGAAATCCCTGAGGTTTTTCCTCTTTCCAAAATAACTAGGGCACTTAATATGCCAATGCGCAAGTGCCGGGACCAGAATCCCTCTATTGTCCCTGAGGATCAAATGCTCATAGCGAGCTGAGATGCGTGTGCCTCTGTAGTTGGCATTGACTGTTTTCCCTTGGCTGAGGGTATGAAACAGAAGGTTGGTTGTTGCCGACACACCCACTGTGGGGTGTTTCTGGAGCTCGTGGTGATGTGGGGTCCACCAGACATTAGTTCGTACTCTGAATCACATCCCTGCACCTGATGTTCTTGCTTTACAGGGGGGAGGGGAGGCATGTGAATGACAATTATTACTTTTTAAAGGGATGCAAATCAGATGCTCTCAGGTTTAGCTGACCAGCTTAAAACAGTGAGTACAAAAAATGAGATTTATAGGGTGAAAAAAGGAATCCTCGCAGGCTTAATCTGTTGGACAAAAAGCCTCTGATCTCACTGCTTTCTTAGCCAGAAAGAGATGCCTGTGTAATCTATGGAAGAAGTCACTAAATACCGCCTCACAAAAATAAAGCACTTTAAAAAATAACAAATAGAAACCCCACATTGTTGAGGTTATTTGTTGTTTTTTCCCCACAGTCTTCCTTTTTTCTTTAGAAATATCTTGTCAATAAGCTTAGACTCAAAAGGAGGGGGAGGGGAGAAGCTTACTTCCCTTCCCAACTCAAGGCAATGGAAATACATTAGCACAGCATCTTTTTTGCTGGGTGGACTGAAAAGCTTTTCAGTCTCAAAAATAAAAACCCCACAGAAAAAGAATAAATCTGAATTCCAGATCATTATAAAATGTGTGCTTCCCGCTGAGTTTCTGCTTTCTCTGGGAGACAGAGAGGTGATAATCCCTTTCTATATTGCTCCAGTTTTAAGATCATTTGGCATCTTGAATATAATACTGGGCACCTTGATATGGAAAGACACACTAGGAATTTGGCAACCTAAAGGGAAGGGGGTCATGTGTGCTGAATCATATGGAAAGACTGCAATAAGTAAGTATGCAGCAGAAATCCTGGCTGACCAGAAACAAAGAATGGATGAGACTGTCCTGTAAAAGGGCTGGAAATAGTATTTGAGAGAGACTTTTTAATCAGGTACAAAGATGTGTACAAGGATAGCATTTGTAAGGTGAGAACTTCAGTTAAAAATGAGGAAAAGTGCCTTGAGATTGAAAATCAGAGTTGTCTTTCCTAGAGGGTGTATGTGAGAAGGTGCTTGTGGTCCCTAGAGGCTTTTTTTAGCTCTGGCTGAGCTTCTGGGGCTCTGTGCTGGGAAGAGCGACTTTTCTGTTATTTGCTTGCTCAGTTGCAGGTTTAGGGACTTGAGGAGGTTTGGAAAGGGCAGCTGTTGAGTCAGAGAGAGAAAACTGAAGTAGGACTGTGGGGATGTGACAGAGAGCAGGGTGAAGGGAGAGCAAGATGTGAGAACTGGAGGTTCAGGAGGGAAGGTGGAAGGCAACGTCCGTCCCTTACACCCCGAGATGTACATTTACAACATTTACTGGTTTTGATATGCTAACTGGAATTTATCTGGTCTCTGTCCAACATCAGCTGGAGCTGTGTTGCATCAGGCTTGTTCTGGTGCCCTGTGCACCTCCAGCTTCTGCCCTTGCCGTTGCCAGCTTCCCATCACAGTCAGGTGTCTCCACCCCCCTGGGCATGTGTTGGAGGCTGTGCTTGAGATGAAAGCACAAAAATTAAACTGGGTCCTATTCCCAATGCGCAGTGGGTGCTGGGTTGTGAATCATTAGCAGTCCTATACATGATGTCCAGAATAACAAATTAGCTGCCTTCTGCCAAGGCAGTGCCACCAGGGAAGGTGCTCATTTTCTCTTACCGGGCACGTACTGTGTCTGGCTCGCTGCTGCCAGGAGAGCCAGGCCATCCTTTGGGGCTTGTTACCAGATCTAGAGGAGAGCTGCAGCTCATTAGTGATGGTGGGGTGGGAGGGAGGCACTGCCGGGGAGCTCACCACTGCTCTCAGTCAGGGAGTTAAGTGTCCCTGTTTGCAAGGGAGGAAGTGGAAGGAGGAGGGAAATGAAATCAAGTATGAAATCAAAGAGATTTCTAGACAGGTGTGTTCTCTCTGCTCTGATCATTCGGGAGATTCAACCAACCTTGTGGGCTGAAGAGGACTTGGGAACAGGGTAGATAAGTGTCCATTTATTTGCACTTGTCCGTAAGTGTCACACTGGCGAAACACCGCTTTTCAGGCTTCCATTTAATGAGTCCGTGATTCAACAGCCCCTGAGGTATCTCGAGGTTCTTCATGTTTTGTCTGTTCCAGGAAGCCTGTTTTCTTTGGAGCTGTATCAAATCCATGGATGAGCATCACCTAGCTTTAAACAGGGAGCCACCAGCTGGGGGTACTGCTTACCCTGGCTGTGAAACTGAGGAGTATTTTGTCACCAGCTTGCCCAGGAGCTGGGAGTTTGTTCTTTGGTGCACAGGGCTTAGTAGAATACCCCCACCAGGGGACTTTCAGGTCATCAGCATCTCCTTAGGCAGTGCCCTCAGTCAGCTGCTGGGAGCAGTGCCACAGTAAGGTCACCATGGCCTACTTTGGAAATTCCTTGAGCATTTTAAAATAAATCTTTGTGATAAAGAGAGGGGTTGGGAGCATCTTCTAAAGCTCTAGCACATGGCAAGATGATGAGAAAAGGTGTGGGTGTGGGGGCTTGCAGAGGACACACAGATACGGCTCACAGGACTGAGCCCCCTGGGCTGGGGAGAGCCACGCTGCCCCCCTCACCTGGTGGCCACTGCTATGACGATGCTCCCTGCATCACACATGTCCTTCTGCTTTCTCTTACAGAGTGACTTGTGGTCTTTGGGGATAACAGCCATTGAAATGGCGGAAGGCGCTCCCCGTAAGTAGATGCGTTGATCTGCTTTAATTAACCCTCGGCTGTAATGTGCTGGGGTTGTGAACACCAGCCATCACTTGATTCTGTGCAAGAAACTACGTGCAGAGGTTTTCCCAAGCAACCTGGGCTCCCTGAGGTGGGGCTTGCAGGGTCCATGGGAACAAAGTATGGCCCTGGGGATAGGATGAGCAGTGAGCAAAGTGTATGACCCCTGATACATCACTTGAGCGCTATGGGACTCAGTTTCCTCAAATAAAATACAGCTGAAGAAGGGATTGAGGACTGTAGGTAGAAGAGGAAGTAGGTAAAAGACTGCTCCTCAGAGCTGATGTTCTACCACCCTCCATGGTGATACAGGTAGTGGCATGCTGGGTTCATATGGTGCATCTGCACAGGTCATACTGGTGCAGCTTTTCAGTGTTACCCTGGGACTGCCCTCGTGTGCCAGTAAATGCAAGTCAATAAAGCAGAGCACAGTGGCACATGGTGCAGCTGTACCATGCTCTGGGCCCGTTGCTGTCAGTACCTGGCAGGGTACTGAGGACACGCAACTGCAGGAGCGCAGGCATCCCCAGCCAGCCCTGCTGCTGAAACAAGTGGTGCTGGGGATACACATCAGCTCTCACCTGAGCTGCAGGCTGCTGGGGGGACAGGGGGTTGTCACTGTAAATCCTCCTGCCATGCGGGTCTTGTAGCTTCAGAGGAAACCTGGGGTCTTTCCAGCTGAGTGTGTAGCCTTTCTTTGGAAAACCTGGGGGGTCTGTGAGATGCTGTGCCATGTTTAATTCCTCTTCTTGCAAATTGCAGCTCTCTGTGACATGCATCCCATGAGAGCTCTCTTCCTCATCCCTCGCAACCCGGCCCCGAGGTTGAAATCAAAAAAGTGGTGAGTCTCTCTCTCAATCTCCAATGACTGTACAGACTTTTCTGGAGCAACTTGTTTCTGCAACCCAGGCATGCTGGAGACTTGGTGTTTGCATTTATATAGCTTCAGGGGTTCACAGTCTCCAGCATCACTCCCATGAGTACAGGTTTGGGTCTTGATCTCCTAAGGAGAGGCAATTTTGTCTGAAGGAGTCACTAACCATGGGATGGAGGGCTTCCTAAGTAGGAAGAGCGGAATGATCTCTTAACACTGCAGTTTCACAGCACAGAGTTGGCTTTTCCAAGGGAATTCATGCAGCCTGAAACTAGATGACACTTTGCTTGGCTCCTGTTTCTTTCCAGGCAGGTTCCGTTTTCAAGTGGAAACATGATTCCAGGCCAAAAAAAAGGATAGTTTATCTTGAAAAACCCAGGAATGCAGTGATTTGTACTTAGTTTGGGCCTTATTTTAAAATTCTGCAGGAAAAAATACAGGGAGCATGCCAGCAGAAACCTGTAGGAAGAATATTCCTGAAGCCCAGCAGATGTTGTTTTGTTACTATATGTTCTGTACCAATGGAGCTGGAGTCCTTAAAAACACTCATCTTTGGTTTGTGCTGTTTGCCTGCTCAGATTCAACAGTGATTTGTTGATGTACCAGATGTTAGAGAGACAGCACTGCCCCTTGCTCCCAGATAGGCTGAGCTGACAGAGGGAAGTTTTACCTTATTCTTTAAAATTATAAGCTTATTATCTTACTGAAACAACACAAAAAGACTAGCAATGGGTAGGTGTTTAATACACTTGGTGCCACAGCAACAGGTATTTTGCTGGGAGGGGAGTGAGAGGGGCTTGGAGTCCTTTGCATCAGGTGCATGGTGTTGGGGTTTTAGGACCAACCCCTAAAATCTGACCCAGGCTTTGGCAGGGAGCATCTTAATTTTGTCAGCCTGATCATCAGCTGCTGCACTACCAAACCAGGAGTAGAGGAACCTTTCCCAGCTGGCTCTGCAGAGGGTGTCACTCTCCTTGCACAGCCTTTTGAGGTTACCATTGTTCAGCTGAGAAAATAGTTTATATGGGGTTTTTTTTGCCACATCACGAGTCTCCTACTTAATTATCCTCACTGCTAAAGCACAAAATAGATTGTAAGACTTCAGTTTATTTTTCATACAAAAGTGGTGTTTATGCAGCAAAGGCTTCCTCGTCCTCCAGACCGAGGGGAGCTGAAGATAGTGGTTTTTAAGCAGAACGTTTCCCCACCTTCTTAAGGTGAAAACAGAGCTGAGGTTGAAGTTGTATTTTAGTCCCTCCTGAGATACGAGGATGTGCTTTGTGCAAGTCAAGGCGTTTCTTGGCAACTACCTTCCCCTTGCATGTCTGATGGCTGTCTCAGGTGCACATCTCGTGGTGGTGAACAGTGGTGGTGTCTGCCCAGGGTCAGCTGGTCTATCCAGTGCTGTATTCTGTACTTGCCAGGGTTGAGCTTTGAGAGCAGGATCACCTGGGAAGTGCAGTGTTCACCTGGTCCCTCCATGAGCAAGCAGGGATCCCTGGTCTCCAGCATAGCTCAAACCTGTATGCATCTTCCAAGCTTTTATTGCAGTGGGAAGCTCCAAAGGATCCAGACAAAGCTCCACCAACTCCACCTTTTCCTTAAAAGAATTTTTGTCAGCATTTTTAGTGGGACACTCATTTCTCACCTGGAGATTCTGGGAACAGCCAGGATGGGTCCTGGCATTGTACAAGCCCAACCCAAGAAGATGAGATGTTTGAGTAGGCTTTCACAGTGGCTCTCTGGCAGTCAGTGGGCTGGTTTGCACAAGCACAGATCACAAGAGGAAAGCAAAACGAAGAAAGGTTCAACTTGAACCTTGAATTTCTCCTTGCTTTAGTGCACGGCAACACATAAAAGTACACCAGGTGGTGAAATTAAAGTCTTCAGTATAATTTTCTTTCCCAATTAAAGCCAGCCAGCAACGAAGCTTTATTTTCTTCTTCCTGCGCTTATCAAGTGAAAATGAACTTAGGCTTCAGCGATGTCGTTCCCATAAACACTCCGTAGCCCTGCCTTACAAGAGATGACAAGCCCTCTTTGTTAATGAGGTGATATTTGCACTGTGATAGCGCTTCTCATCCAAGCAGTCACAAAGACTTTGCAAACATTGATTTAAGCTTTACAAACCCCAAGAGCTGGAGAAGCACGTGTTTCATGAAGGTGGGCTGACCTATGCCTGGGGAGGAGATGAGACGTGGTATGATGTCCTCTTGGATCAGAGCCAGGGGAGAAGCCCTTGTCTTCTGCTCCAGTGAGGGCTGAGCTGTGCCACTGGACAGGGTCACTTTTTTTAAGAGGAAGATTGCAGGAAAACCAGAGGCCTGAGCTGGTGCCTGTCCATAGCTGCTGAGCCAGCTCAAGAATACAAAAGTGTCTTAGGGCACTGGGACCCCCATCCCAAAGAGATGGGAAGACCAGTCACTGGAGGATAACTTTTTAGTTACTTCACCTCGACGATGTTCGTGAGTGCTGTGGACCGCGCATCCAGGACTGCAGTCCCTCCTGTTTCACACAAACAGGGGAGAATCGTATTTTGGAAGCAGATATTTTTTTGAGCATCACATGGATTGTCCCTTCTGGATTCACCAAGACATGCAGTTTTTTGAGGCAAGGTGCAGAAAGAAGATTTGCTCATTAATAAAGCTGGAGGGAGGATTTAATTGGATCAAGTAGTGTATTTTATTTTTGCATCTCAATTTGTATGGATTAGCACTTAAAAGAGAATCACTTTTAGTCTGACAGCTTAAAAATAAAATCCCCAAAATCTTATTGTTTTACTTCTAAAGCAGTTCTGTAGTATCTGTTGGCTTCTGACATCAATTTACACTCATTTACACTATTTGCTAAAGCAACATAAGGTATAGACCAGGTTGGACGAGGCCTTGGGTGATATAATTTAGTGTAAGGTGTCCCTGCCCATGGCAGGGGGGTTGGAACTATATGATCTTAAGGTCCTTTCCAACCCTAACTATTCTATGATTCTATAGTGGCCTGTCAACATCTTTCCTCCTTGTAAATCCCCGTTCTTTTGGGTTTATAATGTGGTGAGATTAGTTCCAGGAAAACTTTGGGTATGCAACACTTGAGACTAAGAGAAACCTGTTTATTAAAGGTGTAGCTGAGATTGTTTTAGCTGAGGTTCAATGTAACTGTTTGTGGGAGGGCAGACTGTGAGCTGGTGCTGGGCTCTATCACCCACAGCTACATTCCCACCTCTGCCCAAACCGTGCTGCTCAAAGAGCATGTCCATTTGCATGGATCATGATCAGGTAGACCAGGTCATGGTGCTCCCCAGGACCTGGTGGATTAATAAAACTGCTGAGTCTCCCTGAGAGTGCAGGGAAGAGCTGCAGGCAGTGAGCATTGTCCAGAGGTCATCTGAGCTTTAACAAGCCATGTAATGTTAGGTGGTTAAATCTGGCAATACAAAAAAAAAAAAACAAAAAACAACCTAGCTAGTCCCACTCAGCTTCAGAAAGATACATCTCTTGAAACACCACCCGGGGCCTTAAAATATGGGAAACAATCCATTAAGGAATTGCATTTATATCTTTATGTGTCGTGTCTTGTTTCTACCTGCAGTTTCACAGATGAGAGGGAAGGGAGGAGGAATGCTTCCTTGCATTTTCTTGGTCACCACTGGTGACATCTGGCTTTGATAATTCACTGGTCATACTAATCATTCCTAACTTTCTCCAAACTCAGCAGAATGGTGGGTTCTCCTGTCTGCAGCAGGAAGGCAAAGACAGGAGCATACATGGGAAGAATAGGAGAGGATGAAGCGAAAGAGGGCACATGTGATGGTGCAGCTTTGAGACAGTGCTAAGCATCAAGAGAAGTCATGGGAATCCTTTTGGATTGCTGTATCTGAGCCAGAACTGTGTAACAGCCAAACATTCTTCTCAAATAACCTGCAGGTTTCTCACTTTCTAATACAAGAATCAGTATATGTACCTGCTTTTTCCGTACCTTCCTTTTCTGTACTTGTCCAGGTCTAAAAAGTTTCAGTCCTTCATTGAGAGCTGCCTAGTGAAGAATCATAGCCAGAGACCAACCACAGAGCAGCTGATGAAGCACCCTTTCATCCGAGACCAGCCCAATGAAAGGCAGGTCCGCATCCAGCTCAAGGACCACATTGACAGGACTAAGAAGAAGCGAGGCGAGAAAGGTTAGTGAAGAAGGGAGAAGGGTAAGTGGAGAAGCAGTACTCTGGGCAGTCCTTGACCTCTGCCATGGGTTTGGAGATCCCTAGCATAGACCAAACCATATCCAGGCAGGCAAAGTGTTTCAGTAGAAGAAGAATGGCAAAGAGGACTGAGTTTTTCATGGTCTCAGTACCTGTTTCCCTTATGCAGATGGCTAAGTTTGTTTGCAGATTGGTTAAGTAGGTGTGGTCCTTCTGTGTGACCATGCTTCTGATTGCTTTGAGGTCACATTATTTTGTTTGATTTGATTTCTCTCAGTCATTGAAAATACCCTTGTCAAAACCCGTCAGTGTTCATACAAAACCTACAGGTGACTCATTAGAACTAATCAGTGGTTTTAAATATTTTTTTTTCCTCTGATGAAAAATTGTATCATTTTTGTCCAGGTGATAATTTGCACATGGAACATTTAAGCTTTGATTCTTTAAAATGTGTGTATAAAATTTACATCTGCATATTTATGTACTGGCACATGGGAGGGAGAAGCTGCTAAGCAGCTCACATATTTCATGCCAAGTGATTCCGTTGATTAGGAATAACCTAGTAAACTGAATATTTCCAGTGAACTCTCCTGGCCCTATCAAAGTCTTCTGGAATGAAGATCAGGTAGCCAAAGGAACGTGTTGAAGTATTCAGCTGCCTGTGAACTGAGTTTTAATTTGAAAGCTCATATGTAGAATCCAACAAATTAATAATGTCGCTATTTCTCTTCTTGTTGGTAGTGGTATTAATTTTTCATGCATACCTTGCAGCCCCTTGTAATAAATGTCACTACAATCGAAACAATAAAATGGGATCCCAGTGAAGTATTTTAAATGTGTTTAGTCTGGCAAATGAAGGTTGGACCCTAGAGATGGAGAGTAATTGGATAAATGCAAGCCTTTCTTTTACTATAATTCTCTTCATGTGATAAAGGTGGTATCCCAATAGAAATCACAGTATGTAGCACAACATTGAAGTTGAGCTTTTACATAGATGTCTTCATTGCTTGGAAAATACATGGATTTGCATAGGAAGAGCTTATGTTTAGGGAGAGAGGAGTTGGTGCCTTCAGAGACATAGTTAAATCCCACCTTCCAGTGCCTGTGGCTTCAGTAGCTTGTGGTGCTCCTCCCTTTGAAGAACCTTCCTGAAGAACTGGGTCCATCACTGTCATATGGAGATAAATTCTTATTTTATGCACACCCGTGTCTTTACACTGAGTGTCTGTGGTTGCTGGGGCCGTTGCCCACTGTGCTGGTGCTGCCTGCGGCACTCCAGCCAAGACTGCAGCCCTCTTCCCCTGGTTGCAGCACAGGCATTCAAGGTGCCAGTACCCAGGGAAACTGCCTCTGCTTCCCTGGCCTTGCAGCCTTCCGTAAAAACAGAAGATGCAGAGAAATGATCCTGCCTATTCTTTGCCATGTGAGAAGAAGAGTTGTCTGTTCTGCCTATAGAGCTCTGGGGTTTTCGACCACTGGAAAAACAAGTGAGTCCAGCAAAAGACACTGATGAGCAATTCTGTTCCTAGATGAGACAGAGTACGAGTACAGTGGAAGTGAGGAGGAGGAGGAGGAAAATGACTCTGGAGAGCCCAGGTAAGAATCAGCATTTCATTTATGCCCTTACGTGTCTGTAACTCTATAAAATCAGATTGGATTACAGGCTGACGGGAACTAGAAATGGAAAAAGGACAGTTTGAATACTGAGTCCTGTTTCCTGGCAGAACAGAGTATGTTCCCTTTGCTGGATGGCATGTGGATATAAACTGATGCTCTAGGTCACCCTATCCAAAAACTGGGGAAAAAGACCCAGGTACCCTATCACTTGTGGGATCTGCAGCAGAATGTGGTGCTGTCATGGAAATGTGAGTATTCAGATATATAAAAAAAGTGAGTTGAAATTAAAGAAGACTCTTTTAAAATGCAGTTCTTACATGCAAGTGTAACTCCCTATTTCAGCATAACTTTTCACCATGAAACTTTTCTAGAGCTGCTGCAGGCATGGTAGGGCTGGAACTTTCTTTGGTGAAAATTTTCAGGTCGTTGTAAATGAGTATCAAGTTATTCCATTATTGCACTGAGATAATGTAATATTTTAACAGCTGGCAATGATTCATGCTAAATGTGCTTTGTGAATGGCTTCAGTGTGTGTCACTGAAGCAGAAGCAGCTTTGGTTAGAAACTTAATGTAAAGGAAGCCTTTAGGAAATGAATTATTGGTGAGCCATGCTGCTCTGCCCCCAACATGTGTGGTCCACCCATCCCTCCATTCATTGCTGCCCAAGTTCTGTCAGGTGTTCAGATGCTGTTAGAATGAAGGGGAGAGGGGGCACATTGGAAAATCATGCAGAACTCCCTCTGGCAAGAGGTTTAAGGGTGCAGGAAAGGGTTCTTCTCTGATGCTTCTCTCCTATGTAGCTCCATCCTAAACCTGCCTGGGGAGTCGACACTGAGACGGGATTTCTTGAGGCTACAGCTGGCTAACAAGGAGCGGTCAGAGGCGCTGCGTCGGCAGCAGCTGGAACAGCAGCAGCGAGAGAATGAGGAGCACAAGCGGCAGTTGCTGGCCGAGCGGCAGAAGCGGATTGAGGAGCAGAAGGAGCAGAGGCGAAGGCTGGAGGAGGTAACTGGCCAGAGCCAAGCAATGGGCTGGCAAAGGATGTTTTCAGGTGGAACAGCATGATTTCTGGTAGCAGGTCCCAAGTGACTGTTCTCAGCCTGGTTTAAGATGACCATGCCCTAACCTTTCTAGCTCATAACCCCAAATGTTTTGTTAGACTGGTCAAAGCCCCCTGCTCATCTTTTTTGCATACCCACCTCCAGCCACTCCTCACCACGGGAAGTGTTACCAGTTCTTGCAAAGGTAATAATGATGGTTTGCTATAAATAAACCCCAGAAATACCAAACTTAAAGGGATCCGTGGAACTACTGAGTAGAGTTAGCTCATTATTGAGGTGACAGCTGTATTCAATTGAAGTGGGCAAAACTGGTCCAGGCATCTGTCAAGTTCATTATGGTTATTTGTTACTGAGGACTGTTACAGTTGAGAAGCTGAAAAGCTCCCTTTTACCACATCCATGTGCCACTCGTGTCCCCTTTAGTCCCTAATTTCAACTTCAGTCCTTCCAGTCCCTGCTAATTACAATTTCTCTTGCAGGGGAGGGGCAGATGCCTGCCTGACTTGTGCAATGATCCATATGTGCCCCGAAGGATAAGATTTCACTACCCTTGTCTTAACATACCAGCTACAAATGTGATCAGTCAGAAAATTTAAAATCCCATTTAAAATCCAGCTGCAGGATTTGACTTGGGGTGTCCGTGGGCTGCTCAGCCTTGCTGTGTACTCTGTAGAAAGCACTTGCTTCTGGTTTAGCTCCTGTTTCTTGGATTGGGGAAGTCCACCAAAAAAAAAAAAAAAAAAAGGGAGCTTTTCCCCTGCTTATGGGGTTTTGATGAGGTTTCACATAAAGACACCTGTTGCCTTGCACTGAACTCATCCCAAGTGTCCGATCGAAGGATTCATATGTTAATGGTAATTAAATTAGCTTTCCAAAGGGGTCACCACTGTGTCTGAAAAAAGGACTTGCAGTAAATGAACTATTAGAGCAGCCACTCCCTTTATTTGCAGGAGTCAGAGTATCTGTTACGTATAACCTGACTCTCTCTGCACTGGGTAATGCCCCCAGGCCAGGAGCACACACAGGAAAGAATTTCAGGCAGCTGATGGTGATGATGATGGTAATGGTGTGGCCCCTCTTCAGGGTGGTCCTCTAAGTCCCTCCAGGGTGAAAAACAGCACAGGAAAGTCCGGGCAAAGCATTTTTTCAGTCTGGTAAACATGTAGGTCTGTCATGTCAGGGCGCAGAGCATCGTATGCTCAGTACATTGTAGGTCAGTCTTTGTTTGCGTCCTGCACCCTTTCCAAAGCTGGTGAGCTGCTTTGAGAGAGGTCAGGATCTGCACAGAGACATATCCAAAATCCTCTGCCCCAGTGGATGTTTATCTGAGGACTGTGGCAAGGAAGCCTTTGTCCCAGTCTGCTTGCTGCAAGTGGTACAGTATCAGAACAACAGCAGAATAAAAGCAGACACCAGATTAGCTGCAATCCTGTAATGAATACAATGCTTGATGCTGAATCAATACATTCTCTTCACATGAAGAAGATTGTTCTATCTCTTTCCTGCTTCTCAGGCAGGTTTTGAATGGAGGACTAATCTTGCTAAGCTGGTGAGCTGTGCTCTGAGCTACAGAGGTGCTGCTTTGCAGGCCAGGCTGTGCACAGCTCCCCTGGGATCTGCCCCTTTCCCCTCTTCTTTCCCCCATGTCATTAAAAGCTAATGCCATCATAGCCAGGATTTAAAATCAATGCCTCTGTTTCTGGTGGCTCTAACAGCCCCCCATGGTTCTTCAACCATTGCCTGCTTCCCAGCTGCCTTACAGTTTTCAGTCCTAAATTAAAAAGGAGATACCTCTGGAGTAAAGCTGGAAAAGAGGAGTTTTCATGCTCCTGCCATGTTGGAGAAGTGGGGAAAGACAGTGGGTCTGTAACCAAGGGGCATCCTCTGGTTTCCCCAGCATGGGCCACCAGTGTGATCATAGAATCATAGAATAGTTAGGGTTGGAAAGGACCTTAAGATCATTAAGTTCCAACTCCCCTGATGGGCAGGGACACCTCACACTAAACCATGTCACCCAAGGCTCTGTCCAACCTGGCACAGAACCCTGCCAGGGATGGAGCATTCACAACCTCCCTGGGCAACCCATTCCAGAGCCTCACCACCCTCACAGTAAAGAACTTCTTCCTTATATCCAATCTAAACTTCCCCTGTTTAAGTTTTAACCCGTTACCCCTTGTCCTATCACTACAGTCCCTAATGAAGAGTCCCTCTCCAGCACCCTTGTAGGCCCCCTTCAGATACTGGAAGGCTTCTATGAGGTCTCCACGCAGCCTTCTCTTCTCCAGGCTGAACAGCCCCAAATTCCTCAGCCTGTCTTCATATGGGAGGTGCTCCAGTCCCCTGATCATCCTTGTGGCCCTCCTCTGGACTTGTTCCAACAGTTCCATGTCCTTTTTATGTTGAGGACACCAGAACTGCACACAATACTCCAGGTGAGGTCTCACAAGAGCAGAGTAGAGGGGCAGGATCACCTCCTTTGACCTGCTGGTCGCGCTCCTTTTGATGCAGCCCAGGATGCAGTTGGCTTTCTGAGCTGCAAGTGCACACTGAAGCCGGCTCATGTTCATTTTCTCATCAACCAACACCCCCAAGTCCTTCTCCGCAGGGCTGCTCTGAATCTCTTCTCTGCCCAACCTGCAGCTGTGCCTGGGATTGCTCCAACCCAGGTGTAGGACCTTGCACTTGGCATGGTTAAACTTCATGAGGTTGGCATCAGCCCACCTCACAAGCATGTCAAGGTCCCTCTGGATGGCATTCCTTCCCTCCAGCATATCAACCGAACCACACGGCTTGGTGTCATCGGCAAACTTGCTGAGGGCGCACTCAATCCCACTGTCCATGTCAGTGAGAAAGATGTTGAACAAGACTGGTCCCAACACCGATCCCTGAGGGACGCCACTCGTTACTGGTCTCCAGCTGGACACTGAGCCATTGACCACAACTGTTTGTGTGCGGCCATCCAGCCAGTTCTTTATCCACCAAGTGGTCCATCCATCAAATTGATGTCTGTCCAATTTAGAGACGAGGATGTCATGTGGGACGGTGTCAAACGCTTTGCACAAGTCCAGGTAGATAATGTCAACTGCTCTGCCCCTTTCCATCAGTTCTGTAGCCATGTGATCATCCCCATGGGCTCAGCCAGGATTAGGGCAGAGTGGGCAGCCATATGCTGGCGGCTGCAATGGCCCCAGTGTCTTCTCAGGTGTCCATCTGTCTAGCTGGGTGTAGCTTCACCTGCGTCTCCGGCTACGGAGTGAAATGAGCTCTCCTCCCTATTGGACACTGTTTACATGGTGAGCAAGAAACTGCCAAGTTGCTATGGTGAGGATTAAAGCAGCAGACCTTGAAGAGGTGCGGACCTTCTGTTGCAGATGTAGTGGGTTGTGGCAGAGGTTCGATGGATACTCCCCAGTGCAGCCAGCTGTGGCTTTGCCAGCTGCAGGGTGTCATGTATCTGCCGTGGGCTGCTGTAGGAAAACCAGAAAACTAGTAGAGGCGGAGATTAGCAAACAGAGTTTCATCACTGCTGCAGGGAGTGAGCTGGAGGAGCTGCACAAGCAGCTTTGAGCATCAGGACACTGACTCCCAGTGTCTGCCCTGGGAAGGGATGCTGCCTCTGCCTGGGGACACAGAAAGGGTGTTGTACCCCTAGGCTGCCCCACTATTTCTAGCACAGCCAGCCAGCGGTGGATATAGTTTGGTCTGTTCTTCCTAGATCTTTGGGGCAGGAAGCATCTGGAAGCCAGACAGGGTACTGAACAGTAACCATCACAGCTGCTCCGAGTTTGATGTTGCTGCCTGGAGGCACCCAGCACACTCCCGTCTATGTCACAAGTTTTGCTTCAGAGAACAGCACTGCTTACGCTCTTGTACCCATCATAGTGGCACCTAAAGGCGTCAGCAGCAGCCAGTGTTGTCTTTTGGCTTCCACTTTTTCTTACGCTAGCTTTTCACTGACTTCAGTTGTTGACTCTTGGCTCTGGATTTATTTTGGTTAGTGAAACAAAGTTTCTTCCATGCTACTTTATGGTCTGACTAAGATGGGGTGTGCCTCCAGTAGGCAGCACTATACCAACAGATCTCTGGGAGAAGATATGAGTGGAAGACTCAAGTTAGTCTATTTTCAAAATATAGTTGACCTTTAAAACCCATTAGAGCATCCAGGATAAATAGACATTTGGAGCTGGTGGCTTCTGGGGCTCCTAATTCAACCTGTTCAGTACTGCCAGGCATATTACTGTGCTTATAGAAAGAGCTCTAACTTGTTATAAGATACTGTGAAGGTGGCTAGGCTGAGTGAGTGCATTTACTGGACCCAAGTGCAGCACCAAAAGGATTGACGTAGGAAGATGCCAAGCTCAAAAATGCCTGGAGTTAGTTTGTACTGGAGGTGCACAGTAAAAGAGCTGGAGAAAAGCCTGTTACTGGGGTGATTCGTCCATTCCTCTGTCAGTGCAGACCTTCAGTAGATGTTTTTTTGTTATTTTCCAATCTTTTTTTTAAATACTGCCGAGAATAGAGCTCTTGCCATGTCTGTTCCTTGCCTAGTAGAGCTCAAAATGAATGAATCCTATTTTTTCTGTCATCTTGATATTTCTGAAACTCTTACAAAGTACCTCTCATTTTAGGGCCTTTCTAGGCAAATCCAGCAATAACATCAAACATATATATAAAACAGTCAAATGGGGAAGTCTTCTGGTGGTCTCTTGAAGCACTTTATGCTGTCCCCAAGACATGCTGCCATCCTTAGCTTGCTTCCTTGCTTCTGTCTGACACTTGGGTCTGCTTTTTCAGCAGCTGACCAGTTTCCTTCTTTAAGGCTGCATCTTCTTCCAGGCACTCGGAGAGGTGTAGATTTGTAGCTGTCTTTAATTGCGGTGGAAGTGAAAATCCCCAATCTGGCTGAAAACCAGGATCTTTGTGAGCTAGAGTTGCAGCTTTTTTTCACCTCATGCAGAAAGTTAGTCTCGTGAATTCAAAATGTGTGCCAGAACTAACTGCCAGAGCCCCCCAAATTAGAGAATTAAATATCACTAAATCAAATCGCACTAAGGAAAACAATTTTGTAATGCAGAAGTGTGAATAGGCTTAAATATATTTTAATTTTTCCCTGTTTATACATATGTTAGACGTATATATAGTTACCTATTAAGCCCTCCATTTGTTGCTGGCACAGAGAATGAGCCTTGCTGCACCAGTTCACCAACTTCAGCTGAGCTGTAGGAATAACACATCTCCTAGTCAGAAGCATTAGGGATCCTGGGAGACAAATCTCTGTGTAGACCCCTTGGCAGCAGTGGGCAGATGTAGTCAGGGAAGGCATTATATAACCTCATTTTTCTGCCATGTTGTGGATTTTTTTCCTTTCTAGGTATAAAATGAAGGTCACAGCTTTACAGGGAAGGTACAAGGCAAATCTAAGCATCTTGCTGTTAGCATGTGAGTTTTTATTCAGTGCAGTTATAGAGTCAGATGTTCAGGGGATAAAAAATTGCTGCAGCTCCTTTATACGTTAACCAGCAGCAGACAGTCTACTGGAAGCTCTTATAAAGCAATAACAAAATTAAATAAAATCCAGCAATTAATTATAGATAAACTTACATTAGCTGAAATGGTGGTTATTATTTTCTTCTGCATATGCAGTTGTTGTATAGCTTGTAGGAGCATTTTCATTAAGGTGATAGCCTCCTCAGTAATATGGTACATGGGAGCACTGTAGCAGTGCTGCACCCATTTCCAAGAACTGCATTACAGCAGCTCCTGTAGTACAGGTGTGTGCTAAGCTTACATTTCTCTAGTTTTAATTTGGTTAGAAAGCATGTAGAAGTCATAGTTTCTGAAGCATGAGCCTTTTCCTGCTTGGAGCATCCCTTCATGATGATCCCAGCTAAAATTAGCTCCTGTGATCGTTCACGGTAGGAAGTTCTGACCCAGTTAATCTACCAGTGGGAAACACTTCTCCGTGCTCCAGTGCTTGGTGTGTCAGGAAAGATGATGTTCCAGCCACAGTCATTCTTTCCCTGGTGGCTCAGATAAATAAGCCTGTCACAGCAATGCAGCTACCTAGAATATTTGTTTTCATTTGTCACTTGGAATTCCCCTTCCACTTCTTTACTGGCTCATACCCATGGCTGGGAGCAGCAGCCAAGGTTTCCATGAGCCTCCTCTTGTAAGAGTCAGTGCCTCTCCGAGTTCACCAGGTTCATGGGGTGGCTGCAGCTCTCTGGTTGCTTGTAGTCTTGAATGTGTCTGATCTAGCAATGTGAGCTTGGTCCTTTGAAGTCCTTGTTTTATGCCAGGCCTCCAAGGGCCTTCTCACCAGAGGTTTTGCCTTCATGTGTCTTCTTTCCCTCATCAATATTTAAAACCTGTCATTTCTAGTGCAGTGCAAATAAGATCCCATTCTGGCTTTGAAACAGCTACATATGGCTTTACCTGCAGAGTTATATAAATGCAGTCCTAATTAATTGGCAGTCTTGCTTTGCATGGATAATAAATCTGAGTAGTGTAAATACAGTAGTTTCAGGCTTGGAGAAACGTGAAAAGTGTGCACTCACAGTGAGAGAGGGAGAGCAAAGAACAGGCAGAAAAAGAGGCAAACAAAGAGAGATCTTTGAATCTTCCCCTGCCCTTTTTGTTTTTTTTTTTGTTTGTTTCTGTATGCACTTTCACATGCAGTTTCCAGCTGCGTCTTACTGAGCTCAGTCCCTATTTTAAACAGGGTCCCCATCATCCTATCACTGCTCAGCACTGGCATGAGCAGAGGTAGAGGGGACATGGGGGCACTGCTAGAGGCTTTGCCCACTGCAGTGCCAGGTCCTCTTCAGATGTTTGCCAGCTGCTGAAGTGGGTCCATACAGGGGAGGCAGATGTGCCGCTGCCAATTGAGCCCCCGCTCTGCTGAGATGATGGTGCAGTGCTCAGCTGAAGGTGCTCATAATGAGACCATGATAAATGACTTGCCTATAATGTGACCTGACAAAAGCACAGTTGAGCTGCAGGGAAGTGCTGTACTCCTGGCCTCCATAAATGTGTATATTGCATCCCGCTCACATACTCAACCTGAAGAGCCCACCTGTGACAGGGCACAGAGATCCTTCAGATATCCAAAAGAGCATCAGGCCTTGCTTTGAAAGAAATTTGTGCCTGGGAGGCTCAAATCCCAGCATCTGGGATTAAATAGGCTTTTAGGTGTGCAAGAGAGGAGGCTGGTGGTTTGATGCTGCCATGCAGGAGAGAGACCAGAAGTGGGACAAGCTCACCAGGGCCACTGGGCACATGGTATGCTGGAAGGATAGTGTTAACAATGTTCCCTCTCTGGGAAAAATGCTTTTGTCTCCTTTGTGCAGGGGGTTGGCTTTGTTCACCTGCAGGATTGGAAATAAAGACCAATCAGATGATCTTTATTTAAGAAATAGCTGTGACATTCAGGGCCTTGCCTCCTGCCAGCCAAGCCCAGCCTACACAAGCATTATGTGCTTTATTCGGCAGCATGCTATTTTAACTAAAAAAACTCCAACATTAAAACCCAACCCAAAACCAGTGTAATACACACTGTGATTGGAAGCTCAGGGTAACATGTATTCAACCCGTTCGTCAAAAGCCCTGTGCTTTTGAGGGCATGCAGCAGCGACTGTCACCAGCAGCACTCATCCAAGGAGGTCAGGGAGTGCTGGCAAAGCCAAGAAATCACACATTACTTCTTCAGAGTTACCATGTCCCGGTGTCCTGGTGGCATCTCCTCTAGAGTTTGTAGTATAGAGTTCAAAAACCTACAAAAGCTGTACATTCACGTTGTACTCAGCAAGGACAGGCGTACGCGTGGAGTAACACATGCATACGCAGCTTACGTGGGCAGTGCGAGTGACTGCGCCTGGCGTAGGACATGCCGGAGTCTGGAGCTGGCAGGTTATTTCAGGTTTGATGAGATTTTCCTTCCCTGAGGCAAGTGGAATAGCAATGATAAATATGGCTATAGGTGGTAGTGAAGCTGTGCTGCAGCTTGAGCGTTAAGCTAGAGGAAATCAGTGTCCTTGGGCATGGATGTTACCTGTTACCTATGGATGTTCCCTGAGGGTGAGATAGCAGCAAGGCAGGCAATGGCTCTTCCCTATATGAAATGTGGGGCTGTCTTTAAATATTTGTTAAAGTACCTATATGTCTATCTATAGATGTATCTATTTTTATAGGTGTCAGTCTATAAAGTTAGCTGTTGATATCTATCTCTAGAGAGACAGATACAGAATAGAACATAGAATAGAATATAGAGTAGGTATAGAATAGAATTATAGTCTTGTGATAGAGTATATATATAGTATATATTATATGTAACAGAGATAAAGTAGATCTGTTAGACATCTACTGTATAGAGATTTATCTGTTGTATTAGATAACTATTACAGACAGATCTGTATAACAGCTATAATAGCTATATAGTATCTATAGCTAGATACCTATAACAGGGAGAGGTATCTATATAGGTAGCTATCTATAGATAGATACAGATTTCAGATCTGCCTGAATATACAGTGCAGATTATTGCAGAGCAGCAGTTTAAAGATACATCTTTGTCTTTGGATAGCACAGCCAGCTTCTTGGGCAGAGCTGCTATAGTCAGCTGCCATCTCCAGCCCTCCACGTGATTTAGCGAATGTATGGTGTTGCCAATCCCTCCAGTGCCTGCCTTTCCACTGCAGTCTGCTCAGCTGCTGTGTCGGCAACGGGGGGAAAAAAGGGGGGAAAAAAAGGGAGGAAGAAGGCCCAGATTTATGCTTCAGCGGGTTGTCTGCCCGTTAGCCCTGCAGTGTTGCTGCACCCTGCACACGAGGGAGTTATGGCAGGCTGCAGATCCCCAGTAGCCAATACTGGCATTTGAGTGCCCTCTGCTGATGTGCCGGCTGAGGTGTGGAGAAGCCTGCAGCCCTTCTGCTTCATGGCAGTGTTGCAGCGGTTTGCTGCGAGCCCCTGCCCCAGGACCAGAGTGCAGGGTGGTTTGGGGAGCTGAAGGAGTTACGCTAGGTTAAAAGCAGAGGGGGAGGGGCTGCAGGTGTCACCTGGGTGCCCAGGGCACTCTGGATGGCTCACAGCAGGCTCTAGGTCATCATCCTCCCCCCCAAAAAAGCACTCTGGATTGCTGTCAGCAAAGATGCTACAGCACAGAGCAAGCAGGGATGTGACCCAGGAGGCAGGAGTGGAAAGGGAAGCCCTCAAATCCTGATCATTTTGTGTTACAGAAAAGAAAAACCCTAGGATCTTGGGTCTTCTTGTCTTAGCTTGTGGTCTTTGCAAACATTAAGAGGGATGTGTTCTCTTCTTGGCAGGCAGTAGCTCCCCCAGCACCCTCCCTCATGGGTCTGGGGACGAGTTTCCCATAAGCGATGGGTTTGTCCAGTTCCTGGGTGTCTGAGACCTGATGAGTCCACTAGTCGGGCATGTGGGCAAATGAGGACCACACACTGCCCACATAGCTTCATCTGCAGGTGGAAGAAGAAATGGGGTTGTGTGTATGGTCTGGTGCTGGCCAGGAGGATGTTGTGGGCTCTTCATAGCTGATGCTAGGTACCAGAGCACATGAGGTTGGAGTAGGATCAGCAAGCCCCTCTACTGCCCCAAACAGACCTGCTGGCTAGCAAGGCATCTTATCAGGTGAACAGGAGTGTTGCGGGTTGCTGGACCAGGGCTCCCTGAAAATTGTGCGAAACTCTCAGGGAGAGGAGTGGGGATGCTGACCTGTGCATTCTGCCCCCACAGCAGCAGAGGCGGGAGAAGGAGTTGCGGAAGCAGCAGGAGCGGGAGCAGCGGCGACACTATGAGGAGCAGATACGGCGAGAGGAGGAACGGCGACGTGCAGAGCATGAGCAGGTAACACGGTGGGAGCGAGGCAATAGTCTTCAGCACAGATCTCTTCTTGTAATCAGGGTTTTTCTTGTAAACACTCGTAATTTATGCTACTTGAGAGCAAATCACTTAATTGTTAACACTGTGTGTGTTGCTTTCCACTGCTGTCACATATTTCTGTGTAGGTCCACTTGCAGGCCTGCAGGTGTGGGGACACTTGATGCAAGCTCTTCCCACCCGCTTGTTCCTGGGGTGGGGTTTTATGGTATTCCCAGTTAATGTTCACTATTTCCCAGTGATTTTCACTGTTTACCCTCAGAGGTCCCTTGTAGGGTGGTGGACACCCTGGACTCTTTGGGCAGGGACAGAGAGTACTGGCTCTCAGGCTGGGTGGATGTAGGTGCCCACCTCATTTTTCTTCCTGTTGGGAAATACTGTCTCTTTTACCTTCTCTCTCTTTTTCCTTTGATCCTTGCTGCCCATGCCTCCAGGAGTACATCAGGCGACAGTTAGAGGAGGAGCAGAGACAGTTAGAGATCCTGCAGCAGCAGTTGTTGCAGGAGCAAGCACTACTTCTGGTAAATGGGAGGACATGGCCACGCTTGCTGCTTTCTGCCCATGTCGTGTCCGCATGAGCCTGCGTGCACCCAAGCTACCTAAGTGATCCCTGCCATGCCGAGACATGGGGGATGCCACTGTCACTGCCAGACCCGGAGCCTCCTGTCCCGCTCTGTGGCCACAAGCATGCCTCAAAATCCCCACCACTGCTTCAGCTGGGTCCCCTTGTGGTGTACAGCGCTCTCATTGCATCCCTTCCTGGCATCAGCATGCTTGTGCCTTCATGAGAGGAGCAGCTCTGTTAGTTGCTGTGTAGTTTTGAAGGCTGTTTGCAGCATGTTGGAGTGTGGTTGAGCTGTCGCATGCCTGCCCCCAGAGAACCCACCCTGTCGTGCGGATTTTCATATTCCAAGTGGAGGCCTTTGTTTTCATTTCCTTGCAGGAACACTGTATATTCCTTCTTGTGCTGTTTTTGTTCTAGATATCCTCTTTTTTTATTTGATTTCATTTTGAGTTTTCCTTTTAATGCTGGTAGCTGTTATTCTCACTGCATTTTCTTTTAATCTGCAGAGATTATTCTTTTTGATCTTGCTATTAATTTTATTTAGGGAAAAGAAAAACCCTCAGACAAGCCCTTGCCTTTTAAAATGCCTCTTTCAAAATTACTTACTCGTTAAACCTCATAGAGCCATAGGGATTCAGAAAGATCACACAGTTAGCTGTGCTGCGCAGCCCTTCCCACAAAGAATAAATTGGCCCTACAGAGGAGTTGACTTCACTTGAGCTTTGTCTGACCTGGTGATGTTTGGCACCTTATCAGGTTGATCCTTTGTTCTTCCCATCCAGAAAAATCAGGGCAAAATCAATGGCAACTCCTAAGCAGATGTCAGCCCTCAGGGTCTTTGCAGGGCTTCCCTGGTGAGGCGGGGCTAGCACCTCCAGTTCCCAGTAGACAGGGCAGTTCACTGGCTGCAAAGTATCGATTTTGGGGTCACAACTCTGAATTTGTTGGCCCTGTCCTCCCAGCTACCTCTCCTCTGGGATGCTTTACAGCTCAGTCCCCAAAGTCTTTCACATCAATGAGCTTTGCCAGGAAACAGTCTTTCAGATACTCAGGCCCCATTTTCCACCCAAACAGATAAATCTGTAGTTTGCAGCCCTATGTTTACAGGCTGGCCAGGCATCCATTTCACTGTGTTTTCTTCTGGGTAGGAGTATAAGCGCAAACAGCTGGAGGAGCAGCGGCAAGCAGAGAGGCTGCAGAGGCAGCTCCAGCAGGAGCGAGACTATCTGGTCTCCCTGCAGCAGCAGCAGCAGCAGCAGCGGCAGGACCAGAGGCCAGCAGAGAAGAAACCTCTCTACCATTATAAAGAAGGGATAAATGCCAGCGAGAAGCCAGCGTGGGCCAAGGAGGTAGGCAAGAGTAAGGAGCAAGAGGGTGCCTGCCTACATCTGCAGGGCTGGGCACACAGTTTGGTCTAAAATACGTACAGCAGATTGCACTCTGCTGGGTCAGCCTCCAGCAGATGCCATTAGCAGTGCTGGAAGCACTCTCAGTTCAATGCAGTGTGTGTGCGCATCTGTGTGTACCTTTGTGCAAGCAAAGAGAGTGAAGGAAGGAGGCTTTTCCATGAGAGCATGCAAGGAGGAAAATGAGTCGCTCCTGGAGGGGTTCAGCCATAGCTGGAGGTATGTGAATATACTGGGAGCTCCTGGTGTTCATACCTGGCACGTCCACAAGCCTACTGAGGGTCAGGGGTGGATGTAGAGGGTGGTTGTAGCAGGGTTCCTTGCTGAGCACTAATTCAGTTCACCATAGGCAAACAGAGATCAGCCAGCCTTTCCTCCCGTGCTCAGGGCTGTATCTTTTGGGATTGCTCTGCTTTCATGATTTTCAGGAAGGCAAGCCACATCAAGAGTTTTCTTTTTCTCTCCAGCTAAAAGAGGTAATTGTTGTAATAGTTGCAAGATCCTGAATATTAATTATTGCCTGGCTGAATAGTATTGAAAAGATGAAGATATGCATTGTCTGCAGTGCAGTTTCAGGATCGTGTGCAAACTCCGTCTCCTTAGTCTCTTTGTGGTGGCTCCAGTAAGACTGGTGCCCACTCCTGCATTAATTTTTCCAAAGTTCTTTGTGTTTAGTTGGTTTCATTTTGCAGCCATGGGCAGGAAGATCTTTTCTTTTAATAACTCGCCTATTCCTACTAAGCAGGATCACAGCTCTGCTGCCAAACGCCTGGCACCCTTTAGTCCTGGCAGAGATGGGACCTGCATCCAGCACATAGTTCTCTCCTGGTCTTTCCTCTTGACAGCCCTCGGCTGCATCCACAATACCTGCAAGCATCAAATGCTCAAGAAATTCAATCAGATCTCCATTGCTAAGCAAAGGTTAATAATATGAACAGTTCTTAACCTTTCTAAACCATCACAGATGGAGATGTGGATGTCTTTTCACTTCTTTATACTCCCTTGGGTTTCTCCTTTGTTCCCTTCTAATTTAGTCTTCAGAGTCTTTTGGTGGTGATGCACCAGAAGGCATATTTTCATGGAGTTGCAGCATCATTCTCCAGCCCTTCCAGTGGAAGAAGAGGTTTGGTAAGTGGGTCTGCAGATAAGATGCTCCAGATGTGCTGAGCCACCTCTAACGTGAGAGGTTTCCACCTGGATGGTGCCTCTGTAGCTTTGTGCAGAATAGGGTCTCTCTTGAACATCTGCAGAAGTGCTGAGAGCTGGTAGCAGGCAGGGAAAGGGGAATAAACTGTCTTTCATTGCCTGGTTTAAATAAATCCTCTGGAACCTTGCAAAAGTACCTCTGGCACTGTCTTCAAAGCCATAGCAAAGATATATAAAAAGGAGCCTTATTCTTTATCTGGTGTGAAGGAGAGAAGTGCTGGATTTAGTGTTCTGTTTCAAACACAAAGTTCCATTTCTTCTGTTCCATGGGGGAGGCATCTTTTTATTTGTTGCCATCACTTGAAGCACAATGTTGGGAACTGTACAATATGAACGAGAGCAGCAGAATGTCACCTCATACCCTTTGCTGAAGTCACAGGGAAGATGAGGTTTCCTGTTGTTGGGGAATATCTCCAGCTTCCACTAATTAGCTCTCTGAACCCTTTACCTGTGTCACTCTGTCTGATTTCTAATGAAATGCTCAAAGCAGCTGGTGTGGCATCTTTCTGCTCTTGGGAGCAGTAGTTTGATGTACTGCCTTGACAAAATACCTTTGGGAACTTCCCTAAACTACTCCTCTTGCCTTGATCCCCTGTTTTACCTGCTGCATAGTTACACTTCTAGAACAATGCAGCTACTCTGCAGCATAGATTAAAGTGCCATCCTTGCTGGCTATACAGGTAGACTTGTGCTGATACTTAAATCATCCTACCATGGTTCTTGTTACAATTTAGCAATTTCCATACCCAGCCCATGCATGCTAATTTAACGGAAATATTGAGACTTTGTTTTCCTTTGAGAACAATGAAAAGACAAGTCTAGTGTTCAGCCTACAATTTCTGGAGGCTCTGCAGAGCTTATTAGGATATTTTCTGAAGATTTTGCGTGATATTCCATACCATCCTTGTATTTATATTCCTTGGTCTCAAGTCTTCTCCCTCAGGAGCTTGATCACCATAGCTGAATTCTCCTTGCACTGTGCCCCTCTCTGCTTTTCAGAGCTCTCCTTTATGGACTTATTTTCCCACCTCACTCTTCTTCACATGGTAACTCCAAGACCCTGCAGACAGAGGGTAAAGTATAAAGTGGCTATAGCCACTTGTGTTGTGTCCTTGCATCCCCTTGTTAAAGGGACTGGTCTGTCAGTGAAGACAAAGCTCTGGTTTAGGAACCAGGCTGTACTGCATTTTTCATAGCTTCCCTGGTCAAGGATTTATCTTCTTTTGTGCTAAACAAAACAGTCTGATCAGATAGTCTTATCAATACACATGGATGCACATCTCCATCTGCTGCCTCTTCTAATCGTCTTGTGAATGAAGGGTTATCCACTGGAAATTAACTTGGGATACAGCCAGGGTGCTGTCCCAGACCTGCCATTTAGCCAGGTTCATTATCAAGGACTCGCTGGGCCTTTTGGACGTCATGTTGTAACCCTCTGATGATCCAGCCAGGGATGTGGCTTTAGCACTCTAAGCAGTAGTACTGTAATGAGCAGCTTTCTCCATTACTGGCTTGTCTGTTATAGACCAGTATTTGCCAAACAAAGCGGTGCAGGTAGTCAGGTGTCCTGGGTTCAGCTGCATTCTCTCCCCTTGTTATTTCCTTTATCACTAATATTATTGGTGGTAGTAGTAGTAGTTTTGTATTAAACCTTAGTTACTGGACTGTTCTTATCTCAACCTGTGGGAATTACATTCTTTAGATTCTCCTCCCCATCCCCCCAGGAGCAGGGGGAGGAAGAAGCAAGGGGAGTGAGCAAGCAGCTTCATGGTTCTGAGTTACCGGCTGGCCTTAAAGCATGACACCGAGTCTAACATCTCAGTGACAAAGAAGCTTGGTCAGCTGAAGGATAGGTTTGGGCAGGTGTATGCCATACATGACCATGCATAAAGGAGGGGACAAGTTTAATCGGATGTTTTCCATGCAGTGGCCGGGCTCTGCAGTGCTTTCCCACAGCTCAGACCTTCCTGGGAGCTCAGGGCTTGACTGTGCGTTGCAAGCTCTGCTGTTCTCTGCAGCAGCCAACATGTGTGTCAGCTCCTCCTGCAGTCCCCATGGCTTAATTCTTCTCTTGCTTTGAAGTGATGTATTGAAACATTAGCATCCTTCCACTGGGTCCTGCACAGAAGCTGCTAAGAATGTTTCCTGTTTGAGGGGAATCTCGAGTTCAATTAGAAATGGCTTGAACCAGAGCAATGATGAATTCCTGCAGGATTTTACTGCTTTTTCCCTCACTCTGCCTAATGGTGGAGTCAGTAAGGCTTCATGAAGTGCAGCTGGAGAGTTCCAAGAGCATCCTCTGCTGTGCTGGTGCAGCAAAGTCCTAGTGAGGACATGCTGGCAGTGGGAAACCAAGTGTCCTTCTCCTTCCCAGTACACAGACATCCCCATTTCATCATTCCCCTGCCTTCTAGTCTACACAAGCTTTGACGTCCTCCATGATTAGCTGCACATTACAGCTTGGCAGTGTGCCGGAGAGCACCTGCAAACAGGTGGAGGACTCGGCAGCAGCACTGTCTTTGCCTGCTGTCGTTCATGACAAAGTTTGGTTGATAAGGAGATGTACTGGGCCATGCCTGCAACCCAGTGCTCATGCTGCTGTTCCCTTGTTCAGAAGAAATTCTCCTTCCTGCCCTTCTTGCCTTCCCATCCTTGTGTCTACTCCCATAGGCATCACCAAACCTAGTTCTGTACAGCCTCTGCTAGCCAGTGGGCAGCATCTGGGGAAGTTGCGACAACCTCTTAAGGCACAGCAGTGTCCTGGATGGTCCCTCATGAACTAGAAAGAAAAGAATCCATAACACAAATCTCTTACCTAAATTTTACCTAAATCTGGTGCCTGCTCAATATCTGAAAATGGAAAAGATGCATTTTTATTAATATAATGGCTTTTACTACTTAAAAAGCAGCTGTGGTTCTTTCCAAGCAAACCTATTTTAAAGTTTGCCTTTTAACATGACATTGTAGATGGTGGAATCAAGACATGCTAAGGGTATTTAACATGTTAATGATACATGAATGAAAATACCCGTCAGATCTCGAGGTATCAGAAATTCTGCATAGCATATGCAGTATGAATACCAATGCATACAGTCTCTAACTGCAGGAGCAGATTGCACGTATGTCTGGGTTGGCTGAAACCATTGCACTTTGATCAAAGGGAATCGAAAGCAGTGGGCTTTGGGTTTATTTCTCTACTGGTAATGGAATCTTTTCCTCTTCCATACATGACAAGGTGCGAGGCTTACTAAATCTAGATCAAAGCCAGCCATTTTCTGGCTGCCATGTTTATTCTTTCATTCAGATCAAATAAAAGCACTCCTCATGTTTATAATAGTGAAGGAAAAGGGTCCCCTTGCTTAAAGATACATTTGAGAAGAAGCACGAGCTTCTCAGGAGTCATCTTCTAGAAATACCTCTGAGAGTCATGTTTCCTTTTCTTTATTTCTTCATTTCATATTCAGAAATGAATTATGTGCATAAATACAAGTAGTTCTTTCAGTGTCTTTAAAATGCATTTATTGCAAAATCTGCAGAGTGACTTGGATTCCATGATGATACGGTTTAGTGTGAGGTGTCCCTGCCCATGGCAGAGGGGTTGGAACTTGATGATGATCTTAAGATCCTTTCCAACCCTAACTATTCTATGATTCTGTGATACGATATATGTGATATGCCAAAGGAGAAAAGAACTTCATATGTATTTAGATATGCATACCTTGGTTTTCTGTCGGAGACAAGTTTTTATGGAGTGTTCACCCACTCTCCCTGTCTCACCGCAGGTGGAGGAACGCTCCCGGCTCAATCGCCAGAGCTCACCGGCCATGCCCCATAAGGTGGCCAACAGGATTTCTGACCCCAACCTGCCTCCTCGGTCGGAGTCTTTCAGCATTAGTGGTGTGCAGCCAGCCCGGACCCCACCCCTGCTTCGACCTGTGGACCCACAGGTAACAGCGCTTTCCCTGGCAGGCTCACATGCCAGAGCCAGGATGCTGGGGGTGCTGGTAAGGTAACAAGAAAAAGCTGATTTAAGGGAAATTGTGTCTCAGCCTGAAGCATATTCATAAGAGCAGCATCTACATGCATGAGTATATTCCTCTTGTCACCTTCCATGTGTTAGCTACATCATGCTGGTTTATACCTTCCTTTGAAGCATCACGTACTAGTTACTGCCAGAAACAAGCTGGAGGAGAAAGAGGAACTGCTGGCCTGGTCCAGTGTGGCAGTTGCTCTGTTCCTCTTTGCATCTGGTTTATGTAGACGACTAAGACCACAGTGCCTGGTACAAAAGAGCCAAGATGCTTTTTGCTTTCTTTACTGCTTTAATTCAAGGTTTTGTTTTGGTTTTCCATTGAGTTGACATCAGTCACAAACACATCTGGAGAGGGCATAGATCACCATGACTGTCATGCAGGAGGGCCATCATTATTTTAAGAGTTCCTCCCAGCCATGAGGTCTGTAAGTACTCTGCCACCAAAAGCTGTAGAAGTGTTGATGCTGGCTCTAGTCCAGCCCCTGGAATTACTGCCACAGATCCACAGACTTCAGTAGGTGTTTCAGAGGGAAGTACAAAGCCTTTGCTCCAAGTCCAGCTGGGCTTTCTGTGGGAAAATGTGCCAGCTAAGTGCCATCTACGTGTGGTATGCGCACTTGTAGGACAGCAGTATGATGCTATCTTTAAACAGAATACATATAGGAAAGTCCTTAAACGTACTGACCCAGTGTACATGGTCTGTATACATTGGGAGGTAGGTAAAACCTCCACTGTAATCTTTCTGATTGACCAAATACTTTTCAGTGACCTTTTTGGTAACATATATTGTCAACAGTTACAAAGACTTCTGTTTGGCAATAAAATCTTAATGAAAAAGTTACCTGACACCCAAAGACCCACGTAAACGTATGCATGCATACACATATACATATGATACATGTATATGTGTACGTAGACATGTATGTAGAAATGTCAAATAAAAATTACAACCCCCCTGTATCAAAAAAGTGCAGCTTCACAGGGTCCTGGGAGGAAGCTTTGATTTCACAAACTAACTTTGTGAATTTCTCAGATTTCCCAAAACAGATGTTGGTATTCCTTTCACTTGTAACCTTTAGATCTGTAGGGCTGATTCATGGGATAGTGGCTACCTAGACCTATAGGAACTCATGCTGCAAGATTTTTTTTAAGTCATCTATGCCTCAGAATTCCTGACAATTTTTTTTTATTATTATTTATTATCCTTTTTTTTTCCCTCCATTTTAACAGGGAAAATCCATGCCAAACTCATTAGTACAACTTTAGAGGTGCAAGCATAGGAGCTGTAAATTCATCCAGTAGCAGGCAGAGCCTGGGGCAGGCACAGTGTGCGCGGGAGCTGGCAGGAGGGAACAGCCTGCCCCTGCTCCTGGGGTGGTACCCATGGATTGGCCCCAGGCTGTCATCACGAGCCTGTCTCTGGCTGCACACAGGAGCGGTCAGGGCTGGAGCATGACATTGCCTGATTTTAAAAGGCTGAGCTGTACAGGCGTGATTTTTAATAGGTATTGTATTGAAGCCATATAAATCAGGCATTCCTGAAACCAAGGGAGTGCTGGTCTCAAACTGAGGGGGCTTTTTAATGCATCTGAAGTGCTAAATCAAATATTTTAATCAACTTTTTTTTAATCAATTTTTAAAATATTTTTTATCCCTTCTTTTTTCTTTTTTTTTTCTTCTTTTTTCCCTCCCCCCCTCCCCCCCCCATTTTGTACTGATAGTTCTGTTTTGACTTGGTGCTTAGATTCCACATCTGGTCACTGTGAAATCCCAAGGAAGCTCCTTGTCTGGGTCTCAGTCACTGCATGAACAGCCTGCAAAGGGACTGGCTGGGTTTCAGGAGGCTTTGACGGTGACCTCTCACCGCACTGAGATGCCAAGGCAGAACTCGGACCCCACCTCAGAAAACCCTCCTCTGCCCCCTCGCATTGAAAAGTTTGACCGAAGTTCTTGGTTACGGCAGGAGGAAGACATTCCACCAAAGGTAACACTACCGCTCCTCACTTCCAGCACGTCAAAGAGGCAATCCCAGAGCTAAGTCCCCATGGGATAGTCCTGCACTCAGCACCTCTGGCAAAGCAGATTGGGCAGAATTGAGCCCATCCCCATGGCTCCACGGCGAATACCTACAGCCCCAGGTCTGCATTTCCCAAGGCAGTTTCTGCACAAGATGCTGGTAGCTGCTCTTGGGCACACACACAGTGCTGCAAAATAGTGTTCACCTCCAACAAAGAAAGTTCTGCAGCCTGGATAGAGGCCATAATAAATTACTGTCTTCTTCCCCTAGGATAAAAATCAACCTTCTGTTTAAATAGAATTATAGGAACATAAAATTTGTCATACTCAATAAGATGGGTCCTTTTTAATCTGGTACCCTGCCTCCAGTTGCAATCAATATTTGATGGAAGACTTGTAAGGGCTCCAGCAGCTTTTTACATTCACTGGCATTTTGGCAGTGTCTGGCAGTACCTCTTTAATTAAGACTCTTCTGGACCAGTATTTCAATCACATTGTTTATACACCTTCGTTTTGGAAGAATTATAACGTGGCTATTGAAATTTGCCTTACAGTGAATCAGTGCTCAGCAATGGAGGATTTTTACAGAGGAAAAAATATTACAAATTCATTAGTGACAGCAAGGCAGTATTTGTCCCTGGCTAAGAGGCAGTTTTTCTTTGTATTCATAAAGTAAGTGGCTTAAGAGCAAAATACCAGCTGCCAGGTAAGCCTGCCTGTGCAAGAGATCTATGGTGGCCTGTCACATGTGTTAATAACATTCACATTTTTGCTACCAGCAAGTGAGAGGAGACATTAGTGCTCACCTAAGAGGAAAAACAAGTCAACAGCTCCTGGAGCTGTTTGTGTGCTTCAGTTCTCAGTAGTGCAGGAGGGTGGGTGCCTGGTTTTAACCTCATTTTGAAAAAACCCTTGCAATTTAAAGTTGTTTTTTGCCTTGAGTCCTTGAGAAGGGTGTCTCTTAACTGCAGTGATGCACTTCATGGCGAAACCACAGCACTAGCTCCTTGGAAAAAAAGCTGTTTTCCAACACTATGGAGTATTTTCCCCATTGGCTGAGAGAATGTGAACTCTGTAAGGTGTCCCCATGAAATCACATTTAAGGCTGTTGTGTCAGCAGTAATAGCTGTGAGGAGTCTGACTTCACGTTTTACTGCCCAAAATGGGTTTGATATGTTTGTAAATGGGAATGAAAGGACTGCCCCATGAGGCAGGGCTGGCTGTCTCTGTGGTCCAGGGTCTTGTTTCTGCCTGTGCTTATAGCTGGATGCTTCAGAGGAAGGTAAAATAGTCCCCAGGTCACAACTGCAGGGTACCCTACCCAGAAGGGAGATTTCCTTTTAATGAGACAAGCTGTAGCTAATGATACTGCAGAATATGAAGCTTGCTTGCTCTCTAAATTTTCTCTTACCTAACATAACTGTGTGTTTATTCACAAGAAAAAAAACAAAACTTCCATCATGTCTCTGAAATGCACTTCAGTTAGAATTTTACCTTAAAAAGTAATTTTCTGGGTTTTGTTAGATTTAAATTATATATGTGTGTGTATATGCATACATTCACTTTTGAAAAAGTAAACACCCTGTTTGATGATAGCGGGGATGCTCAGGGCCTCCCCTGCCAGGAGCATCCCTCACCACACCCTTTGCAGCTCATTTCTGTCTCACACTTGGGTGATACCTTCTATAAGCTGAGAGCTTTGTGGTTTATAATTGCCTATCCCTCAGTGGGAAATCAATTATAAATCAAGTAATAAGGCAGTGCTGGGAGGTGATCTCTCAGGTGTGCAAACAGCAGCCTGAATGGTGGGGCAGACTGGGTGACAGCAAATGTGTCTGTTCTTTTCCAGGTGCCTCAACGAACCACTTCCATATCCCCTGCTCTGGCGAGGAAGAACTCCCCAGGCAATGGCAGTGCCCTGGGGCCCCGACTGGGCTCCCAGCCTATTCGAGCAAGGTATGGGCATGGGCAAGATATGGACATGGGCAGGGTACGGACACAGAGGGCAATGGGCAGGAGTGATCCCAGCATGCTCTCCTTTGCCTGGCTGGGGAGCCCAGACACGGGCTGGGTTTAGCCCTGCTTTTACTGATTGGTAACAACACAAGATATGCAATGCTTCTCTTATCGTTGCAGTGAACTTTTGCATTCATTAGTATTTTGTACTGGCACCAAAGGCTGTGAATGCTTAGACCCCTGGAGGTTTTGCTCCCTGGGCTGAATATGTTCCTGGGCATTGCAGGGTTTGGAAGTGGATGCTACATCTGCATCTGGGGGTAAAAAAGGAATTTGGGCATTCCCTTTAGCAGAACCAGGCTCTGTTTCTCCCAGTGTCATCTCTTACCTATAAGGGGATCCACAAAAGCCAATGGGGAGATCTCAGTGATACATACAATAGTTTTTCTATGCATCAGAGCAGCTTTTCACAGATAATGGCTGAGGAATGTACTGATACAGCTTGGGGAGATTTTCATTAGATGTAGACCAAAGGTAAAATTACTTTCAGTTTCCTAGGACTAGGGCCTTTAGTTTAGCCTCATGCAGCTCTTGGGCATGGAGGTGTTCCGGGAGCCCTTGTAGCACCCTGAGGCAGGATGCTGCACCACAGCTGCAGTCTGATCTGCCATGTCAGAGCTATCCCTGGGCATGTTTAAACCAAGCAGGAAATTTGACAGGCTCTGCTCACAGCTGGATGGAAAAAACTTGGCTTAGTCATGTGAGAGCTTGTCTCTGGTTTGCACAGCATCACTGACAGCTATAGACCTCAGACCGGCAAATCTCAAGGTAATATGTGTTCCACATAGCATTGTGTGAAGGAGCTCCTTGGTTTCTTCTTTCTGCCTTGTCCTTTCAGGGTGAGGTCAAAAAGAGAATGCTGGGATGTCTGTAGCCGTGTGCTGTCACCAGTTTCAGTATGCACCTTTCTTTCCAGCTCAGTGCCCCAACCATGCATCAGCAGACTCACATACAGTGGGCAGCAGCTTAGAGTAGCTGACAGGGGTAGCAGAAGTCAGAAGAATTTTGCTGGGTTGTTGTTTTTTTTTTAATAGAAAAAAAAACATTCATATTGTGGTTTGTTTCCCTTTATTGCTGAAGGCTGAAGCATTTTGAATTCTTTAAAAATGTTCTTTTAATTAGCGCCTGCTTGAAGGACAATTTAACATGCAGAGGGATATTGGACTGCGTTGTCCTAGGAAGTGATGATATTGGAAATAAAAACAATAAGGGGATCTGAGGTTCAAGTTGAAGGCTGCCCACTGTTTCCTGGACATTGCAGTCCCAGTCCTGGTTGGTACAGGTATATACATTAGTTGCCAAAGTTTTCAAATACGTTTCATGAGTTAATTTAGCTAAGGACACATCAGCCATACAACATGAGCTGGAGGCCTTCAGTTGGATGAAAACTGGAAATTATTAGGATGCTATCGTATTCATTAAACTTAATATTCAGTGAAAGTATTTCATATTTCATTTCTCTCACAGCAGTGTAACATTTCTCCAGCTTTCCTTTTGAACTCCCTCTCCTATTGGTTCTTGATTTCCCCCATGCATAAATGTAAATATTACAAAAAATGCTTTCCTTTATTTGTCACCCTGTTGTAGCAAATGAGGGGATTTTCCTTGCACACAGAAAGCTGCTGTCTTGCTGTCATAATTTTAATACCCACCTGTTTCAATGTGAAATAACAATAGACAGGGATTTTATACATGTTAGGCTCTGTCCAAACAGTTCTGCCAGCAACCCCATTATGGTAGTGGGCCTTAGCACAATTTGCACCAACATGTTTGAGGGAGACCCCACAGACCTTGCACCTCACACGCGTGGCTTCCAATTGTAATTGTATTATTCATGTGGCACTATTACCACATTCTTTTTATGTATGCAAAGTTCTAATTGGACTTGACAGAGAAAGCTTTTCATACATTTTTTAACAGGACTTTGAATAAGAGAATTTAACAGAAATATTGTATGGAAGCAAATTGCATAACTCTGTGTGAACATGTCTTCTGATTTCATTTCAGTGGCAAATAAGAATTAATTTCCTGAAGGCGTCTGATACCCAGAAAGATATTAGTCACTCTTTGTGTATCCAGGATGCTTTTTATTCTAAATGTGTGCATGTTCACAAGGCAAGAGAAATCAAGGAATAAAAGGGGATCTCTGATGCAAGTTTAAAGTGAAGCCATGAAAATTGGGAAGTATGAGTAAGTGGTAAAAGTGACATGCAGCCTTGTTGCAAACTTGAGATCCTTTCTTCAATTAAATACTTCTTTCTCTGTCTAACAAACACTGATGTGCAAATTCCTGCTTTTGTGATGAATATTGATAGTTAAGTAGGTAACTTCAGCGTTGCACATTACAGACTGAAAGGGAGTCCTGAACACAGAATCTTAATTTTTGATGAATTTGGCAAAATAAGAGCAGAACGCTTCTCTAGCCAGTTCTTCATTGTGGTTGTGGTGCAGCTCCATAAAGATGGTCAGTGCCTAATTCTACGTAGTCCCTCAAATGCAGGCTTAATAGCTTCAGAAAAGAAGACCTCAGCCCTGTCTTGTCCAGCAGAGGAGGTGTCCCCTCACCTTCGCAGCTCTCCCTGTCAGTGTGGGAAGCATCTGAAGGCCAGAGGAGCATGTGACACTGGCTGATGGTGTCCTTCTGGTTTGTGCTCCTGCAGCAACCCAGACCTGAGGAGGACGGAGCCCATCGTGGAGAGCCCACTGCAGAGGACCAGCAGCGGCAGCTCCTCCAGCTCCAGCACTCCCAGCTCCCAGCCCAGCTCCCAGGGTGGATCCCAGCCTGGCTCCCAGGCTGGCTCGAGTGAGCGCAACAGAGTCAGAGGTGAGGTTCTTGCGAACATCCCTTAGCATCGGGCATGCTTTCTGCGGCTTGTTTAGTAAGCAAGAAGGGCAAGAGGTCTGTGATCTCATGTATGGTTTTTAACAAATTAAAAAATCAAAGAATTTATCATTCCTGATGCACTTCTGTGACCAGCTGACCTAGCAAACAGAGATGCCAACACTCCCTTTTGCCTGGATGCTGATGTACGATGCCCACAACAACTTGCGCTGCTTCTGCATTTGCGGTGCCAAGTAGCTTGTACAAAAGGAGATGGGGGTTATAGAATCATAGAATAGTTAGGATTGGAAAGGACCTTAAGATCATCTAGTTCCACCCCCCCCCCCCCCGCCATGGGCAGGGACACCTCTCACTAAAATAAGAACCTCACACTAAAATAAGTTATGCTTTAGGGGAAACAAAATGATAAAAAAAAATACCGGTGTGCTTCCTGTCTTCATCAGCCCAAGCACAGTTCTTCTGTGATGGTTTCTTTGGGAGTCTGTTTCACTTTTAGAAGTATATTTAATTTTTATTTTTTTTCGGAGCTTCATCTTTGTGCAAAGCCTGAGATGGGAGCAGAGGAGTGAATTAGACCATAAGAAGCTTTCTCTAAAATGCTTTTGCCAGGCAGCCATGCTGACACTGGGTTTATGTTCCTAGTCAAATAGTTCCTTATGTTCCTAGAGCCACTCTTAAAGATATTCCATTCCCCCATTTAATCACAGTAGCAGTTGCTAAAGCACATACAACACATACATCTGCATTTCTGGCACAGCCCCGCAGTATAAATCCCTAGGGCTGAAGCGCATTAAAACAAATGCTTTCTCCATGCTTTGAATTTTTTATGACTTTGCTGTAAAATGACATGTCTGTTGTTGAAATCATTACTCCTCTAGGTAGTCAGTAAAAGGAGTTTATCACCAGTTGTCCTTTTAAGTTTGATTTTGGTTTTAGTAATGAGGAATCCTGTGACAAATAATGTCCCAGCAATGTCAGATGCTGCAGAGTTTTTTATTTATCACATGCTCTGCTCTTTTGCAAAGTGAATTTGTTTTTTTAGTAGAAAGAAGGGCAGTAACACTGCAAGAGGGCTGTCAGTGGAGGCAGGCTTGGGACATGGCTTTTGTTGCTATGTTGATGGAGACTTGTTGCAATGACAGTCAGAGAGGAGCAGGAGGGTTTCTCGAGACAACAGAAACAAAACGATGATGAAGCCCTCAATCCCACTTGTTCCAGGTGACAGGATGCAGTGACAGGTTTGAGCATTTAAATTCCCACTCTCTCTGCTTGCCTTTCACCCAGGGAACACCAAGCCTGAAGGGTCCCCTGTGCTCTCCCACGAGCCTGCTAAGGTCAAGCAGGAAGACAACAGAGATGTGACACGACCAAGCCGACCTGCTGTGAGTCTTAAATTATTTCCCATGGGAATGTTGCCAGCTGGCTTAGCCACTTTTCCCTTCAGTGTGGCAGCACAACTGCAGGGCCCCCAAAAAAGAGGCTAGTACTGTTGCTTCTCCAGTAGAGACTGGAAAGCAGTGGTACAGCAAGAGCCCACGGGAGATACGAATGCTTAAGAGAGTGCATGAGTTTTAATCAGGAGCCCAAGTCTAAGGGAAAGCACTTAAGCCTGTGTTTTCAAGTGAAGCAGATGCTTAAGGGCTTTGTTAGCTTGGGTGTGGTGGTTGCCTATGGTACATTGTTGTGTTCCGTGCTGCATGTCCCCCAGCAGCAGCCCAGCGGAGGGATGCTCTGCTCTGGAAACCAGCCCCCGAGAGCCTTCACTGCTTAAAACCAAACCTGGTAGTGGTCTCTGTACAATCTCATTTGATTATTCTGAGCAAAATCTCATCCGAAGTGTTTCCTCCTGGTTTAATGCTGTTGACATTTGTATTTTAAAACTGCAGACTCGGCCTAATGAAATGAATTTCCACTGCTTTCTTTTTTAATGTGTAATAATGTTTTGTTGATGTTTTTTTTCTCTACACTCCACAGCGTTGAGCTAACAATTCTAATTTTATTTCTAACCTGCTTGCCCTTCCTCTGGCTTTTTCCTGTCCCGATCTGTTTCCTCTGATGCTGATTATTCTTCCTTTACCCACAGAGCTATAAGAAAGCTATAGATGAGGTTAGTGATATCTTTTCTCAGTGGGTCATGCCTGTGCAAGGTTGACTTGTTAGTGCTCAATACCGAACCGGGTTTTCTTGGTGCTGACATTGAAGAGGTGGCAATGTAGTCTTGGGGCAGGCAAGAGACCAAACGATTGTGTCTCGGTGTAGGGAGCCTTCGTGTGGGGAGGGGAGTGACACGGCCGCTGTGTGTGCTGCTCAGCCAAGGGCTGCCTGAAACCCACTGGCCAGACCACTTGCATGGAAGTCGTGGCAAGAAGCACACGAACGTTCACACACAGAGCAAACAGTGCTGCCGTTTTGGTGTATTTGAAAGAGAAAGAGCAAGAGCGGAGGTTTCTGGTGCCAGTGGAGGTGGTCTGGGCAGCCTGTGCCATTCACTGCATTCTGCTCTCAGCTACAGCCCTCAGCCACCCCCTGATTTCAGTGGGGCCATCGAGCACTATTTGAAGTGCATTTTAAACCTAATTCAAATGAAGGTGCTTGGCAAATAATGGAAAACAAAGCGTGGGATACATTGGGGTAATTAATTCTCATGGACCAGACCATCAGACGTAAAGCCAGAATCAGCAGAGACGTCTTGGATCTTGATGGCCAATGCTAGTCTTCCTCCATCCTCTTAAAAAATAAAAGTCTTGAATTACACCTTTTTTTTTTACCATATGATAATATTTTGAATATGTATGCATCTGGTGATGCTGAATGTTTTAGTGTTCATGGGGAAAGACCAGACATTCCTGATGTAGCATTTAACTTGCCTCACACACATCACTATGTGCTGATACTGGTAATTGCAGGGCTGTAATGGCAAGCACCTGTACCAGCAGCCTCTCCTACAGCCTCATTCCTCTAAAACTGGAAGATACAGAAGAAGGAAGATGTGCTGGTTAGTTAACTTGCTCTCTTGGGTGAAACATTAGCAATGCGTTTTGTGTAGTGAGGTGCTTTCTTAAGGAAAAAGCACATAAATCAGCATCTAAATAAAGGCAGTGTGTGCACTAAATTTAAGTTCAGTGAGCTGTGTGATTTTGGAAACCAGTCTGACTTGGTTCCAGCAAATACTAAATCTAAAGAAGCCTTTGTAATTAAAAGTAATTAGAAAGCACTGATACTATTAACTTATGTATTATGTCATCCTCAGTAATAACATTTCAAACACATGTGGAACTACAGAGCACTTTCTAGTTGTCAGATTTTTTTTGGTCCAAGAGCAACTCAGTGAAGCCGTTTAATCCTACATAGTGCTCATTACTTAGACAAAATGATAGCATCGAAAAATTAATCATCCTGAGGCAAAGCTTTAACTAGGAAATACAAGTTATCTGATTATATTGTCTAGAGTATTATTGCTGTTATAACTTCCAAATTAGTTGTTAAAAACTGATCAAACTGATTTTTAAAATACTTAATTATCTTCTGGTGATGACCAAAGGAAGCTGATAGGGTGCCTTGAAACATGTTAGAAATGAAAGGTGCAAAAAAAAAAAAAAAAGGCAATTTTCACAGTTTATCACTGTGAGAGGGAAGGGTTCAGTCCTAGTCCTTCGTTCACTGTAGGAAGTCCGGCTGCAATTTTAAGAGGCTGTTATGCAGTCCTAAACCCCTTTTTAAAGTTGAGAAGGCTCTAAACCAGTTCAAAGGCAAGTGCTTAATAAAGAGCATATTTTATACTATAAATGGAAAGCATTGTTAAGCTGTTGAAATTGTCATTAATTCTTATTTAGGAAAAGAAACAATCATATCATTTGAGCTGCTACAGCACTAATTAAAATAATTAGTTGTCGTGACTGCAGATTTGACTGCATTTCTATCCCAAACGTCTTGGCATCAAAAATAAACTCTTGAAATATCACATTCTCTCTTTAATCTTGATACCTGTAATATACTGTAATATGCTTCAATCTTGATAATTTGTACCTTTCTTTAAAGGTACAGAGAGCATTTGGAGAGGGATGTATAATACCCATCACAGGTACCTGATGTGAAGCAGGGATTCATCTTTTGGTTATTTTGAAAATGGTGGGGTTTGGTCGACTAATATTTACGGGTCTGATACAAAGATCTCTGACATCCATGGGAGTCCTTCCTCTCTACATTAGAGGCTGGGCAGGGCAGACCTGGGAGCAGAATGTGCGGCTGTCGACAGTGGGAGCCTGCTGGGAGGTGTGGGTCATCAGTAACCAAAGTACAGATTGCTTGCAAAATATTCCTGCTTCACAGTTAGGACATAAACTGGGTTTGCATCTCAGCATAGAGGTTTTCCATCGTTTTCTTCACATGTCGACGGGATAGATTTTTTGCAACCATAATTAATATTGCTGTAGTCATCCTGCTGGAACGGTAAACTGGAAATGCAGTAAATGAGAGTATGGCCATAAGACAGTTGTGGAATTTAGTCTTTTTCAATGAGTTTCTTTCTCCCTAATCCTTTATCTCTGACCGAATGCACTGATGCCTACCTCGGTCACTAATATAGGGAGAAATGGTAAGACTGACAATTGCGATGCTTTGTTCGTCGTGTGCATGTCTTGTGCAACAGAGTTCTCTAACCCATTCTAATTCAAGCTCTCATGCTTTTCTGCCCTACTGCTTCCCCCTGCATTGCTATAAAAGCATGTAAGATAACAAAAAGTCTCTTTTCTACACGGTGCCTGCCATGTTCCTTGTTTTGAAATAGCAATGTCTATTTTATATGACTGTTGGGTCTGAGACCTCATCAAAGTCATGGTAAACTGAAAAATTTATTACTAGGCTTTGGGACTGCTCCTATTTTATTTTTTTCTTGTTTAAAAGCTTTTTTGTTTTGTTTTGCCCTTAGCTTGTAGGCTGCCACATTTCACATGAAGTGCTTAATGGGTCCCACTGACAGACTGATTTGTTTCATTTATTTATCCATTTTTTTGATCGTGTGGCTGACTCAGAGCTGTGACTCCAAAGTCTGGCTGAGCTGGGCTCTTCTCCTCGTGCTCCTCACCACCTCTCGGCAGCTGCCCAGCAGCGGAGAGTCACCACGGAAGCAGCTCTTGACGTGGGGATTGCACAACCCATGGGAGATGCTGTCATTGCTTCCTTCCCAAATGCATTTATTACAGAATAAATATAATTGCGGGGTCTCTTTGAGAAGTTTGAAAGAAGAGAAAACCCTGCAGGAGAAATTCTCCAAGCCAATCTTTGAAATGACGTTGTTTTCCAGTTTACTATGATGGTGACTGAACTTCACCTTTCCAACAAATATAATTTTGTCGTGTATATACATATAAGTGTGTGTATATATATGCACATACACGTTCCAAACAGAAAAAGAAGAGGTTGGCTATTGACTTTTCAGTGAGCATAAATCAGTTTTGTTTTGTTTAATAAATGCTACATGCTACAAACATTGTCTTACGTTCGTCTCATGTTTGTAACAACTCTGTAAAGCTATTTCTTGTTGCTCGTGCTGTTAGCATTGGCTTTTGAAGATATGCTTGTGACTTTCTCCTCACTTTAAATATAATAGCCTTTGCTTGCTTGTTTTCTTGCCCCCATCCCCTTTAGGATCTGACGGCCTTAGCCAAAGAGTTGAGGGAGCTGCGCATCGAAGAAACCAATCGCCCCCTGAAGAAGGTGACGGACTACTCCTCCTCCAGTGAGGAGTCAGAAAGCAGCGAGGAGGAGGAGGAGGATGGGGAAAACGAGACGCATGATGGGACTGTGCCTGTCAGTGATATTCCACGGCTTATGTAAGAAGTGCTTTCTTTGGGGGGAGAAGGGAAACTGTGAAGCCCTGTTGTGTCTTGGTCTTGAGGAGCAGTTGCTGTGTTATGGGGCATGTCCAAAGCATGTCAGTATTTGGTGGGAATGGCTCTGGGAATGGTGTCATGGTTGCAAGGGATAAACCTTTCTCCTGGTCAAAACTAGAGATATTTAAAACTAGAGATATTAATGGTAAAAACTGAGTTATTTCCACTACACTTTGAATGAACTTGGGCTCCAAGAGGATGGAGCTGTTCCTGTTCATGAGCAAGGTGGGTTCTTGGACAGAGTGGACATACCTGACTTCATCCGTCCCTTGAGTGTCCTGCTCATGGGGTTGATGAGTTAAAACTCTGCTGACTTTTGAGCCTGGTCTTGCCCCAAATCAAGCCATGCTGAAGTGCAGTACTTTGTGGCCTGCCCAGTGCCAACTGGTAGATCCAGGATTATAGCAATCTGCATCTTCATCTTTGTTTTTTGTCTTTGGCTCAGTCACTGCGCAGGCAGCAAAATGTGGTAGGTTAAAGCACTGAAATGAAAAAGTCAGCAGACTGTACTATTGAGTTACCATTGTAGGCCATGGGACACTTGTGCTTTTAGATGCCTCTAGATGAGGAAGGAGGGCTGCATAGTTTCGACACACACTAAACAGCTGTCACTACACAGAGCGAGCTCATGGAGCATCCCTGTTCAGGCTCCCTACCTGGTGCTTTGCAGCATTAGTGTGGCAGGGACGTTTCTGGGGCTCACTGCCTGGCATGAAGTCTGACTCTTACCCCTGTGGATTCACAGAGGAGTTGTGGGAAGGCTTTAGGGGATTATTTGCATTTTAGTCAGTTAATTTCCATTCTTCCTGGTAAACGAATTATTAGTTGACATAGATGTTATTAGGCTTCGTAGTGGTGGGGTGTGGAGCAGCAGGGAAGCCCTCCAGGTGGCAAGGAGACCTAGAGGGTCCATGTTATGCACAGTGCCAAGCTCCTGTGTTGGAGCTTCCTTCCAGCAGGACAAGAAAAATCAGAGCTCTTGGAATTCATTGGAGAAAGTCAGGAGACAGAAGGATGGCTATGAATATACAGGAGTTGGATGGGCAGTCACGTGTGCAAGAAGCAACCTCAGGCTGCTCATAGAAGAGGAGTTTAATCAGGAATGGTTAATCTGTACTGGCATGCGTCCACCAAACACCTTGGGTTTTGACACAGTGCTTTTCAGTGGATGAAAGTATCTCACTGAGTGCTTTACCAGATGTCAGAGGACAGGTATGTGGTGAGATGGATGCCCCTAACCCACTGCCAGCTGAGCACCACTTGTCCTGTAATGTCCTGTTGATGGACGTGCCCCAGAGACTGAAGATGAAGATGCAAACCATTGATGTCACAGTGAGGTGGCAGGAGCTCTGTCTGTATTTAAGCCTTCCCTGCTATCTGCAGGCATAGTTGTGAAGGCTTACACACACTGCTCTGTGTCTGGGAAAAAAAGAAAGCACATGCTTGGCTTTACACTTCTATTTCACAAAAGAAACCTTAACTCAAGTCCCAACTAGATGTAGTTGGGCATTTTTCTATCAAAGCTTCATCTTTCCCATGTTCAGTGTTTTTCCATTAGCATCTGGGCCCAAGAGAGATCATCTCATCTTCTCCTGCACCTTCCAAGTGATCTTTGTATAACCCATTTTTAAACTTCCCTGGGCATCCTCCCTGAGCACTGGGCTGCTGTTCACCCCAGCTCTGTCCAGGTCTCTCCTGCTGTGGGATAAGTCCGTCCATCACTGTGTCGCAATGGGCAGGAGGGACTGTTTACTCCTTCTGCCTCTGCAGATACCTTTTCTTCATCTGAAGACTATGATGACTCCTTTTGGCTCTCTCTCCTCTGAGCTGCGCAAGCCAGCTCTTGCCTACGTACAGAGATTTCTTGTAGGGTGACATGGAAACGACATGCCAATGAAATCTGGGACCTCATGGCTACCACGGGCATTCATTCACTCACTGTATGGTCTCAAAATTAACATAACCTCCTTTGTTACTGCTTTTTTATTTCTGAAACTGGAATAATTGTGTTATTTTCTCATCCTCTGGTGGTGTTGAAAAGCTAGTGGTAGAAAGGTATGAGCTTCTCAGGTGAAAGGTGCTGCAGGAGTATGGCACGCTCTTCTTTGGAGTACTTTGGTGATGCCTGTCCAGTTATACATTTGATATGATACAGGCGAGGATCCATTATCACACCAGTTACACCTTGGGATCCCTGGAACTCATGTCTTGCATTGGACCAGTAACGCCTTGATTAATGCAGGCTTGCTTTGGCTTTTCACATTACCAGGCTCCCTCATGAGCCTTTGAGTTCTGGCAAGCAGGTGTGCAAGACATGTTAAAGAGTGAATTACTTCAATACTGATGAAAAGCAACCGGTCTGTATAGCTTTTAAATGCAAAGTAATGGGTCTCATCAGCAACATCTTCATAACCACCATCATCATTTTCCAGCGCACACACAGGGCTGGGTAATCCAGAGGCACTTTGACATTTGCTTTTGGTTTTGTTTGAATTATATTTAGGCAGCTGGTCTGCTAGGAAGGTAATAATAAAGTAGCAGTGGCTGCTCACCACCTGCAATATCCACTCTCTGGCAGTCCTAAAATTTAATGGGAGTGAGAATAAATTCCAGCCTCTCTCTTGAGATAGGAGCACAGAAATAAACTCAAGGCGAATCATGGGTCAGGGCTACATCTTCACCTAGAAAACAGCAAAGAGCTGGAGGACACAACTTGTGCTCCTTCCCACACCTCCTCCAAACCCCATCCCCTCTCTTGTTGTCATTTGTCATCAGTTGCTCTCATGCACTGTTCCCTTTCCATGGGTGGACATGGGGAATAAAGAGAGCAATTTTTTTTTTTTTTTTTTTTTTTTTAAATTCAATAGAAAAACTAAGGCAGAGGAGGACTGCAGCAACTTGTTACCTGTTCACCAGTGCTCCTCTTGGGGCACCTTGGGATGAGAAAGGCCCTTCTGTTTGGTCTCTGTGCTGTATCTGTAGTGTATCAACCTGACCCTGGTCCCGTATTTCTGACAAGAGAAATAATCTCGCTATATGTTTAAATGGATATATTTTCTAATTTTGCTTCTTGTGAGATACAAAACCTTACCCTTATTAAATTAATAGTATATTAGAGGATTTGTCGTCTAGTCTAGCAAAGGAAATATTCATCATTAATGCTTTTCCATTCTGTCCACAGCCCAACGGGAATTTCTGGCAGCAATGAGCCGTACAACCTGGGAATGGTGACATCCCATGGGATAGAGACTTCCCACGCAGATACGTTTAGCAATATTTCAAGGGAAGGGACTTTAATGGTGAGGGAGGTAAGTTACAGAACAAATATTCCCATGGAGCATCTTCAGGAGGTTTTGCCCATGTAAGCACAAAAACTAACAGTGCTGTGTGTCCGGAACACAAAATGACTAAGTAAATTGTGCTCGTTAGCGCTCTTGTTAATGCAATTTACAGCAAATGTGACAAGTGCAAATGTTTCTCAGAACTACAAACAGCAGTGAATAGTAATGCCAGGGTGTATGGGGACAATGCTCATACAAATGACTCTGCTGTAATCCCACTATAGCTCCAGGCAACTGAAGTTATCTTAACTTTACAGCATTTAGTTAATACACTTGGTACCTGGACCAGAGTTTCCTCTCTTCTTCTCAGCCTATGCGTTGTGTAACCATTAGAGGTGTGCAGTGTTGTAGAGCATTTGGAGAGTTTTACCAAAGGCTCGTCATGCCTGGGGAAGGCCAAGTTCCCTTCGCCACCAGCCAGCCCAGTGAGCCAGTGGTGGGGGCACTGGGCATCCCACACAGATGAGAGCCCCTGTTCCTAGCTCTGGTGTTGCAGAGGTAAGGCTGCCATGGGAGCAAACCTGATGTATGGTACTGCAGGAGAGAGGCAGAAGAGGCACGTTTGGTTGGCTGCGGAAGATCTCCCCCAGTGTTTCAGATTCCCAGTTGCTGGAACATGCTGGCGGTGCTGCTGGAAACACAGATGGGTAGCAGGTCTCCTAGTGAGGGGACAGGCAGTGAATATGGGAATCACTCTCCTGCTAGTATGTAAAGGAGGAGTATGGATGAGAAGGAAGGGGAGGGGAGTTTGGAGTCAGCAATCATAAAGAAGGAATGTTTAGATCAGATGCAAACTAGACTTGAGCAGCATTTTGATTATTAATTCAATTTATATAAAATATTCATATATGAAGGAAAAAAACAATGCAACTTTGAAAGAGAGGAAGGAATCAGCAAAAGAAGTCACAGCATCTTTGCTGCTTTTCACCATGAGTTTTGGAGGTGGGCAGCAATGCTCAGCCCACCTCATCCCCCACTGGTGTGGATCTGTTCAGAGCAGGGATCCCTGCAGCCTGGACAGCTATCTGTGCATCCTTGTAACAGGGAAGGTGATGCAGTTGAGCAGGAGAACTAGTCGCTGCTATAACATGCTATAACAGACAGCCGTTTGCAAAATGAGCTTGGTGTTTAGCATCACAACTGTAAAACACATGCCATGCCAACAGAGCTATATAAGAAAACTGGAGCCTTGTGGCAGAGTGAAATGCCAGTTGTTCTGCTGATGCTACTGCTGTTCACTGCTGTTTTGGGTTACAGAAACATGCAACGGGGGCTGTGTTGTCATTTGCAGTCAGGCTACTCGCTGCCATAGCTGTGCAAAGCCGTTAAGGCTAACACTGATCGAGGGGTCAGATTCTGCTGTCAGCGATGGCTGTGTGGGAGGAGAGCTGGCCATGGGGTTTTCAGCCATGGTGGCAAGAGCAGAATCTGCCCTGCGTCCCTTGTCTCAAAATGACAGTGATCAGGCTTCTCTTGCTGTAATGTGGCTAATTACTCTGTATTGACTTTGTGATTAATCCTGTCTTTATTTCTCCTGGGGCGGGGGGTTGGTTAGCTGCTTGCCAGATTGCATGGGGATAGAAGCAGAGAGGGTCCTTCTCCTGAGCTTGCCCTAGGAACTGAGGGACGTCCAACGACTTAGTTTTGTTTGTTTTTTTCTTCTTCTTTTTCTCTTTTTTCTTCCCCCTTCTCTTTCTTCCTCATGCCTTGTGTTTCTGCAGACCTCTGGTGAAAAAAAGCGTTCTGGCCATGCAGCCAGCAATGGCTTTGCAGGTCACATCAATCTCCCTGACCTGGTGCAGCAAAGCCACTCGCCTGCGGGCACGCCGACTGAGGCCCTGGGGCGAGTCTCCACGCATGCGCAGGACATGGACTCGGTGCCTGAAGTAGGTGGTGGGGGGCTCCTCTTTCTCCTTTGCATCGCTTTACACAAGTATTAACATCTCTTCTTCATAAATGGGCTTCTCTGCTTTCCTCCATGACTTTCTTGGCTCTTCCCTCTCTATGTTTCTGGTCCATAGGGGTGAGTGTAGTGGAAATATGGGCATATCTGATGGGTTGTTGCTATATGGGTCTAAGGTTGATGGTAGAAATGTGTATTAGATCTTGTCTGAAGCCCACCAGTTGGAGTTTTTATGGTGATGTTTTGAATGCTGCCAGCTGATGAGAAAGCCCCCCACTGAGGTTTTGGTTTGTTTGGTTTTTTTTTTCTAACACTTGGAAATAAAAGAAATAATGAGAGCCAGCGATGCCATTAACTTCAACTGGGCCCAGTTTCCACCTGTGCAATCTCTGATACTTAATGTTGACTCAAAAGGTTAGCAAAAACCAAAGCCAGCAAAATTCTAAATAATTCTTCAGTCTAGAAAAAATCTGCACACCTTTAAAATTGAGTGTTTCCTGTTATGGCAAAGTATTTTCCCCTGGTAGCTGTTTTACAGGTACACGATTGAACATTAACATTGCGTAAGGTGTAAAAAGATTTGGAAAGTACAAGATGTGACACATAAGGGAATTGATATGTCCTGGTTTACTATTACCAGCTGTGAGAACCAGGCACAGTTCTGTGTTCTGTCATGAGAAATAAACCCCTTTGGTGCTAAATGAAATCATAGAATATGATAAATGCTAAATAAGCTACTGCATTTAAATTTTCTTTTCATTTTGTTGGATATATGTCAGAAGTTCTGTCATCGTATTCTCTTTCTTAGAAATGATGTCCTCATTTTATAGTGTACTTTTACTAGCAGTATAAAAATAAAAAATGCTTGGAACTGGGCATTGCTAGAACGTAAGAACAGATGGTACCTGACTTCACCTCAAGGTTTTAGCTGTTTTGTCATTGCCTTGAAAGCAGGTGATGAGAGAGCTGATGCTGAAAATGACACCTTCCACAGTCATCCTGGGACTGCTTAAACGTGGGCAAGCACTGGTTTAAATATATTCACTTATAGAATACCAACCAAGAAGATCTTTTCCATTTCTAAAACTGCATTATCAGGGCTGAATGAACCAGGAGACTTGGGGATTTAATTCACAGGTATCTCATGGTGCTGTGAGAAAAAGAAGGGAGCAAGCACAACTACACCTTGCAGCTTGTTGCTGTCTCTGTAAGCCACCACAGTTGAACAGGAAGATGTCTTGACATTTAAATAGCAGACTCGGAAGTCATTAAGTAATGCCAGCTTCTTAGGAGAATGGCTGAACCTGAGCAAAGAAAAGAAATGCTCAGTGCATTGGGATGAGGGGCTTCTTCATAACTCATTTGTCAGAAAGCACCTGCCTCTCAGCTGGAAAGCATCCCTGTAGATACTGATTTTTTTCTCATCCTTGAACTGTTGGTGGTTTATGGAAAAGGCATCCAGCACTGGGAAAAAATGTGTATTTCTTGGATAGGAGAGAAGCACAAAGTAGGGAGTATATCTCACATGCGCACACAAATTTGGCCATACTGTGTATGTAAATGTGGTATCTGTTCCTGCAGCCTTCCCTGCCACAGGCTGTTAACTCCTTGCATGGGTCTTGGTTACCATGTGCATTTTGGAAATCCATCCCGTTGCTATGGAAACAGGCGGGCTGTCAGGGGAATAAAGACGAAAGGGAAGCAGGATGCACAGCGTGGTTTTGGCATGCATGGGGGATGGAAGCCAGCTCACCCATGGATGCCAGTCCCAAAATGCTTGCAAAGACCAAGCCGCAGGGGTGCTCCCACTGTTCTTTTGCCCCTAAATCTTTCTGTGGCCCACTGGAGGACAGGTGTGAGGCCAGCCCAGTGTGGGTACAGATGTGCCAGGATGGCAGTGTTTCCGTGGCACACCAGTTGTCAGCACAGGGGCTGCAGCAGTGGCGTTGGCGTGGGCTCTGGTGTCTCAGTGATGTGAAAGCTGAGGAAGATTTATTCCTTCCAGGGAAAGAAAATGTCCAGTGGAAGAATAATGTGAGCAGTAGTACTGCTGCAGAGTGACGTGGGGTTTGCTGCTGTTGCAGCTCTTAACGGAGCTCATAAATAAAGCATATCCTGGGTAAATGCTGGAGTAGGAAAAATAAGCTGCTCAACAAGGGGGAAAATCATGTCACTTTGACTCCCAAGGCAAAGATTTCTTGTTGCTTAAGAGAAGGTCTTAGCCTCGTTTTCTGCCTTAACAAAGCAATGGCTTTAAGAAGAAAGCAGTGTGATGTTGCAGTCTGTTCCTCCCTGAATTCCCTTGGAAAAGTATTGGCTCTGACATTCCCTACAATACCTTCAGGTTAAGTTTTGTTAGCTTAGAAATAACCATTTCTGCAGTCCTGCCTGAAATGCTGCAGACAGTTTAAAACATGTCATCCCCGTGAGGTGTGCTGAAAACCAGAGTTTGCGGGGGATGCCATTTTCTGATGAGCCCGAGTATCTAGGGCATTTTCTAACACAACCTGTTACAAAGCTTTCCCTAAAGAGAGAGCTTTAGAACAGTGCACAGCTCACCCCAGGCCTTCCCCAGCTCCAGCGCTTCAGATTCTCCCAAACAGAGCAGGCAGGTGCTGCTGAGGGGCACTGCTGGGGCCTGCCTGTGCAATAGGTGTGAGGACCAGCAATAACAGCCCAGCAGAATGATAAATAGGTGTTTTGCTGGGAGCTGACTTTTCCGACTTTCCCACAGGCATGAATATTTTGGGCTTAGCTTAGCGAATCCCTAGATACCAAGTGGTGAAAGTAGAGTGGTATTATAGCGTATGAACATTCCTGCCTAAGTTCTACAGGTCCCAGAATAGATTTCCACAACCTGTTGAAATTAAATCTTTACTCAGACTGTGCTAGTTAGTGTTTGGCTTTGGCACAAGGGAAGCAACAGTCCCATCTTTTCCATCTCTCTTGAATTACTCCAGTGGTCACTGGTCCACGTCAGCTGCCCCATGCCAGGGCTTTCCGAGGGCTCCCAGTGCTGTCCTGCCGACCTTGGCTGCACACTGAGAGAGTGGGAAAAGCAAATTCTCTGGCATCCCAGAATGGGCTTTTGAAGGCAGGTGTCTAACATGCAGACAAGTTGGGGTTTACCTGCATTGACTTTTGACTCTGGCCTTGTGGCTTCTCCGCTAACTGGTCTCATGGCTGTGCTGTGCTTCTGCCTGTGAGAAGAGAGTGGAGCTGGGCCCTGCTCTTCTTGTTTTCTGTTGCTCATGGACACTCACAAATCCAGTTTAATGTTTTTCCTGACTAGTGATGGGGGAGGAGGAGCAGATGTTGACAGAGGGCTTGAAAAGGGCACTGCAGGTGTAAACATTGTGTCTGCTGATTAGAAAGTCTTACCTATACACACATACACAAAATTATTGTTATTTCTGTGCTCTGAGCAGTTTCTTTGCTCTTACTTTCCAGTATGGTATGGGAAGTAGCACCAAAGCCTCTTTCACCCCCTTTGTGGACACCAGAGTATACCAGACCTCACCTACTGATGAAGATGAAGATGAGGACGAAGAGTCATCTGCTACTGGTAGGAGGCAGTGTGGCCAGTTTGAGAGGGGAGGGCCTCATGGAAACTGGATTATGGAAGCTGTATAACCCCACTTAACCTGTTTCATATTTCACTCACTCTTGTCCAAACATTGCTCATGTCTGCATCCTTGTGGTCTCCTGTTGCCATACAACTTCTTCTCCCTCACCAGCAAAATGCCACCAGAAGGGTCTGGGAGAAGACAGGGAGCAGCAGAAATCCACCCATCTGCCTGGGCAGTCGGGAGAAATGTTCCTGGCAGAACTGGGAGGTGGTAATCTCTCAAAAATACTGGCAGTTGCTCTGAAGTCACTGGAAGTGGCTGGATGTGAGCAGGCAGGCAACAAATAGAGCTGGTCAGCTCAGCAGGCAGGGCTGGAGGCCGGGGACATCACCTGCTGACGGGTTTGGTGTTGGTTCTAATCCATGAGAAGATCCTAATGATCCTTCTCCAGTCTAGTAGCTTGCAACATAGTGATGGCTCCCCCATCAGGAGGTAACTCAAGTATTTTCTTCCTGTCCCAAAAAAAGAGGTGACAGGAGAATTAATCCATCACATCTCACTGTCTTGTGTTTCCTTGCAAGCCCTGTTCACCAGCGAGCTGCTAAGACAGGAGCAGGCCAAGCTGAACGAAGCTCGAAAGATCTCAGTGGTGAATGTCAACCCCACCAACATCCGTCCCCACAGCGACACCCCGGAGATCAGGAAATACAAGAAGCGCTTCAACTCAGAAATACTCTGTGCTGCTTTATGGGGTGAGCGCTGAGCACGCCATGCCCTTGGCAAAGCTCCCTGGAGCAAATGGCTGGTGGTGAAACACAAATGTGTCATCACAGAACCAGGACCCTGCTTCTGGTTGTCCCTTTCTCCATCCTGGGCAAAGCTGATACCCCCGAGTCCCTGCACTGTAAATGTGACCCTTTGTGTTCATGGAAAGATCACAGTCTTAGCTGGGATCTCGTGGTGGTAGCAGAGATGAGCTCAGAGTGTTGTCCCTGGGAGCAGCCATGGCTCCTGGTGCCCATTACCATATCCTCTTCAGGTGTGAATCTGCTGGTGGGCACAGAAAATGGCCTGATGCTGCTGGATCGAAGTGGGCAAGGGAAGGTCTACAACCTCATCAACAGACGGCGATTTCAACAAATGGACGTACTTGAGGGCCTTAATGTCCTCGTGACAATATCAGGTATGTCTCTCATGCTCCCACCCCATCATTCACCTTCTTGGCTGTATGCCATGAGCAGTTCCAGCTCAGAAAAAACCTGCCCACCCATACCAGTGGGAAGCTCCCATGGCAGCTTGAGGTGGTTTATTCCAGAATCAAAGGTTTTGAAGTTTTCTCCCATTGCCTGCTGGCTCTGTTTCAAGGCAGGTAGTCACAGTTTGAGGGGGCAGTGAGCTCTGCTCTTGGGTCTGTTTGCCTCTAGCCAAGGGAGCTGTGAGCCGTGGCTTCAGGGATCCAGCTCATACCATGGCTCAGGGTACCCCTAGCATTGTGAGGACTACAGGCTTGTCACTGTCCCAGGTTCAGCCAGGAGCTTTGGAGCTCTCAAATCAGGCTCATGAGTGATTCCTGGCAAAAAAGCAAAAACTCTCTAGTCCAGTCTCCCAGGAGAGCACCCAGCATCCCCCTGCACAGCAGCCCCATGAAGCACATGGAGCTGGGGCACAGCCTTCTGCTATACCTGCCCCACAAAGCTCACAGAGAACAGCAGGAGAAATGTTTGTTAGGAAAACTGCTTGATACCATCCTTCTGTTCACTTTTGCATTGTTCAACACCTCCCTGGGATCACTCTGCATTCATCTGCAAATTCCTGCTCCCTCCATTCAGACAGAGCTCTTCAAAACCACTGCTTCATCATTTCCCTTGGTCTGCAGCTCCACTGTGGTTTGGGGGATACAGATGTAGGAATAACAGGTTTGGTAGAGTTGGAAGATGAATGGGGAGGGAGCCCTGTCCCCCAAGACAGCATCGAGAATGAGCCCTGGGCATTTGTGGAAACCCGTGAGCAGATGGAGATCCTGGTTTATGGTTTGGACCCTGCCCCTCCAGGCTCAGTGTGAGCTGTGTCCTGTCCCTGTAGTGGGGGCTTTGCAGCAACAGAGAGGTTTGTAGCCTGATCGCAGCCATCCGAAAGCAGGCTGGCAGACATGCAGAAGTTTGGCAGCCCCTCAACATTGCAGAGTCCAGCACCAGGCTTGCTGGCAAATAGCAGTGCCTGTTGCAGACCATGGAGCTTGTGTTTCAGCTCCAGGGTGGAATTAATGTTGTATGAAGGGGAAGAGAGAAAAGAAACCAGGTAGTTGAATAGTTGGGTAAGCCCTGAGCCATAAGAGAACCGGGGGCATGTCCCCACTGTGCCTGACCATCTCTCCATGAACACTGATTTACAGGAAAAGGAACATTTCCAGGTTGCAGGAAGCAAAAGCCCAGCTCTTCCACTATTCACCTGCTGTCTGGGCTCTGCTTTCCATATGGTCTTTTCCCAAGAAAAAAAAAAAGCCCAGCTGAATTACTGTTTTCAGCTTCATCATGAAATGAACTTTATCATCTTGTGAGTGGAAATAAGCACTGAAATCTCAAAATTTCTCGTGCCTGCATGTTGTGCTCTGACAGGGAAGTTTCTTTTGTTACAGGAAAGAAGAACAAGCTGCGTGTGTACTATCTCTCCTGGCTGAGAAACAGGATTTTACACAACGACCCTGAAGTGGAGAAGAAGCAGGGCTGGATCACGGTTGGGGACCTGGAGGGATGCATCCATTACAAAGTTGGTGAGTGGCCTCTCTGGAAAAAAAAATGTCTGAAGAGATGCAGGTCTTAGAGCTGACCTGACAACTTCTCTTAAAAGTATGGATAGACCATAGCCACAAGTAAACTTGGAATTCATCTATATGTATTAGGTGGACACTGCCCGAGAAGCTGTTCCTGGAGATGAGTTGTTCAACCTTGTTAGAAAGAAAGTTTAAATTGGTTTTATTTTCATTTTAGTGAAATATGAAAGAATCAAATTCTTGGTGATTGCCTTAAAGAATGCTGTAGAGATCTATGCTTGGGCTCCCAAACCATATCACAAGTTCATGGCATTTAAGGTATGTTTATCTTTTAACCAAAATACACTCTGTAATTGTAAATACACATCATTTCTGTAGTATGCAGAGCAGAAAAAGCATCTTGCTTATGTAGATGAGCTCTTTGGGACGCCTGGCAGGCTTGGGAGACAGGATACGATCTGGCTTAAGAGACTGGATACCTCCTGCTTATGGCTAACAATGAAGTCTTAATATTAGCTTTTATGCTGGCAGGCTTTACTTGGGACATTTGCAGAAAGCTGACCAAATGCCCACAAGTAAAACTGCATTGGGTTTTTTTGGGGAAGGGGAGTTGTGGTGTTTGTTTTTTTTTAACCTCTGACTGGTTTTTCACATATAGTAGAAAATAGGTGGCAGTGCTTTACAGTTTATTTTGCAAAATCCTCTCCCTTTCTGCAGTGTGGATTTTGTTTGAAGACAGGAAGTCAAAGAGAATGACCCACTCTTTCTCTCCCTTTTCATTTACCTCAGTTTTCCTTCAGTGAGACCTTTCTCCTCTATAACCTGCCAGTGGGTATTTTGTACTTAGTCCTTTAAAGCAGTTTTCATCCTACACTGTGCAGAAACAAGTCACAAGGGGCAATGCCTTCTGGAGACATCCATGCTGAGTAATCTCATTTTGCATCGCTCCAGCACAAATGGGCTTATTCAGTATCGGGTCACATTTGCTTTTTCTGAACAAAAGCCAGAATAAATGGGCTCAGTGACATGGAGAGCTCAGCAGCATTAGAATGGCCTGGCACCCAGCCTCTGCGGGCCCTGTTGAGGACACTGGTTAGTGCTCCTGGTGCTGCTTCTCCCGTCTGAGGGGGCTGAGTGCCCTTGCCTTGCCCTGTAGGCGGGCATCTGTTGGGAGAGTGGGAAACACCACCTCCTGATTTTCTCTGTCAGGAGTCACAGAATGCCAGGAGCCTTTTATTCTCCGCTTGTGGATGCTTCATCATCCCAAGCTACAGAGAGATATTTTGTCCTGGATCAGTCTATGCTGGGAAGCAGGTTATATTAAACAAAGAAAAATAGGTCTTCGCAAATCTGACTCATTTCAGCTGCCCAAACTGGAGCGGTGATCTGTGCCGAGAGGAAAGGTTTCTGTGGACTTTGCTCTTGCTACCCAGAGCAGCACCAGCATCGGGGGTTCCTGTGTGCTGGCTGTACACATGCCAATACAGAACTGAGCTGTTGCCTTCCTTTAGAGACCAAATCTTTGGGGTGACCTCAGGCTTCTGGGATAAAAAGAGCTGTGCTTGGCAAGGGTGAGCGCTTCTCTGCTGGGATGGCTGGAGCAAGTGTGTAATAGCCTCTGAGGCATCTGACATAGTAACAAAGAGACAGGAATATAGATGACCATATCTAGTAGGAAACACAGTCAAGCAAATACGATTTCAGAAACGTATCAGGCTGCTGCTATGTGGGGATTTGTTGGCTTTCTGTGATACTCACTGAAGGGATTATAAAAGTCTTTTGCAGATCTCCAGCACAAGCCGTTGCTCGTGGATCTCACTGTAGAAGAGGGTCAAAGACTGAAGGTTATCTTTGGATCCCACACTGGTTTCCATGTGATTGATGTAGATTCTGGGAACTCTTATGATATCTATATACCATCTCATGTGAGTACATGGGGAGTGCTGCTGCATGACCAAAACAGGTCACCAGCAAGGTTTGGACAGGCTCTTGGTCGCTCAGAAATGGTGACCAGTCAGGGGATATCTTGTCATGGGTTTGACATCCTCTGGTGCCATCATTATTTAAAGAAGGCTTAGAGGTATCACATACTTCATGTTCATTATTCTCACAGGCTATTTCTGTCCTTGTGCCCGGCAGTCAGGTTTAACGTTCCTATGTGCCACAGAAAGGAGAATCTGCACACTGCATGAAGCAGTACTGTAGCTCTTTGTAGGGCAGGATACCATGAAAACAGGTTCTTGTTTGTTGGAAAACGTAGACTCCCCTAAGAGCTGGATGCCCACTGCGCTGTCCTAATGCACGGTGTCCAGATGTGCTGCCAACACTTGTTCCTGCTGAGGCAGCACAGTTTGCCTAAGTGAAAGTTGCAGGATTAGGGTAGCCCAAATCTCAGTCAGACTGCTGCTCAAAACTCCTGGCCCCCCTGACAACAGGGACTCACCACAGGACCTCTCTCAAGTCCATCAGCGGTTTCAAGAGAGAACCAGCTACAAAACAATACTGTCAGTGAGGATTTTCTTGTTGGCTTGTTTAAGTTCTGTCCATGCTGTTGGCCCAGGCAGCATAAGAAGTACTGTGGCAGTTTGGGATGGTTTTGTGTTGTCTTAGCTATGGAAGGGCAGACATGGGTGGAAAGTTACCATAATTGCCCTTGGAGCTAGAGACTGATTACTAAAATATGGTAATAATTGCTTCCAAGCTACCTGTAAAATTCTGGATTTATTTCCCTTGATTTGCACAGAAGATGGATTCATCAAGTCAGCAGTCACTTCCTTGTGTTACAGCTAAGTGTCAGCCATCAGTCTTGGGGGGTGCGTGTTGTGATCCCTCTGTACTTGCTGAACCTGTTTATCCGTGATGTGTAAGCCAGCTTTGATGGCAGTGTAAACATGACAGTTTACTTCCCTTCAAGCTTAACTCTGAAAGCCAGTATCTGTTTGGTGAATGAACGGAGGGGTTGTTCTCGGGTTGGTTTGAGGTTTTGGTTTTGTAATGCTCTGCTCCCTTCCCCTTACCCCTTCCTGTGTTCAATGTAATTCTGACCTTTAGGGTTTATTTTAACTGCAGATTCAGGGCAATATTACTCCTCATGCCATTGTCATCCTGCCTAAAACAGACGGGATGGAGATGCTTGTGTGCTATGAGGATGAAGGCGTATATGTGAACACCTATGGACGGATAACTAAAGATGTGGTGCTCCAGTGGGGAGAAATGCCTACTTCCGTGGGTAGGTCAGCCCTTCTTCTTCACTTGCATAGGATACAAGTGACAAGCAAAATGAGGAGTCAAGAATGTTGAGATGGAGTCATTTGGGGTTTTGTTTGTCAAAGGAGATTTCTCTCAGTTAAAGAAGAGATACAGTTACTGAATTTCTACAATCTGGTCCTCCATAATAAAAGCAAGTGATTTCCTAAATATTTAAGCTCTGGTTTATCTTAAGTATAAGATAATATAAGCTGTTGCGCTGATGGGATACTGTGTTGAGTGGAAGAGGGGCTGGGTACGGAGCTGGGAACACATGGGTTGCTCTTCTGGCTCTGCTGTTGCTCAGCTCCACGGCCCATGGAGGCAAGCTACTGCCCAGCTCCTCACCCACAGAAATCAGAAGTGATACTTGTTGTTTAAATTACTCAGCACTTTGTAGATGAAAATTAAAGGCTACTGTCCCCGCAGGCACACTCCTGGCTGCTTGTGCCTCTGGCAGAGCTCTGCCATTTATCTTTGTAGGCTTTGAGTAACAGTTGGTGAGGGTTTTTCTGCCTGTTGTGTAATATTTAGCTCAACACACATTGTAACACCTACCAAATGCTTCCTTTTGACAGCCTACATTCATTCCAATCAAATAATGGGCTGGGGAGAGAAAGCTATTGAAATCCGGTCAGTGGAGACAGGACATTTGGATGGAGTATTTATGCACAAGCGAGCTCAAAGGTTAAAGTTTCTATGTGAAAGAAATGATAAGGTAAGTCCACTTCAAAGCTTGTATTCCATGCTTTAAACTACAAGCTACTTTCAGACTTCAAATCTGGTTTATCTTGGGGTTAGTAATTAATCTGAAGGTCCTGTTTAATAAGCAGTGCCCATAAACCACTCCAGTTAATTCTCTAAAGTGGATGCAGACCTCAACCTGTGGTGGGAAGATCTCTTCCACCTCTTGCTGAGATCTGCATTGACTTGGCTTGACTCTCCCAAGTCTTGCATCTGAACATTAACTATTGAGGCTGCTGAGTAAACCCTGCAGAAGTTGAGAAATGGTGGCAGTAAGGATGTGTGAGTGACCCTGATTTGAGCTCTTGTGCAGAAACATTTTGATGCATTTTTAGATGCATTTTGATGCATCTTAGAAACTGTTTTCTCCATGGAGCCCCACTTTTTCTGTGTACAGCACTGAGAAATTCTGCCCTGGAGAGTAACCAAGGTTGCATGGGGAATGCAGCTGTCATGTACATGACCCCTGTCATGGATATTGCTGATGCGCAAAGGGTGCAGGGAATGAGGGAATGAGAAATTGCCAAAGGAAAGGAATGTTTGCATGGAAAAAATGGTTGAATGCCAAGGTCTGTTTCTGCTCTTGATATTTGCTCATCTCACGAGGTTTCACCAAGATGAAATAGGACCATGCAGCAGACTTCCTTTGTAATGAGCACAGTCACAAAACATGCGAGGAAGGTGATTGCTCTGTCCCCAGAGCAGGGTTTAATATTGTGCAATAAAGAAGGTTTGAGGCCACGTTGAGTTATTGCACTTATTGCTCATTAGTTGAACATTGCCCTACCCCTTGCATGGAGTTAGACTGGAGCTCTGCAGGAAAAATAGATCCTAACTTTGCAATTGAGTTTACCACAGGAAGCTGCCTCAAGAAGATGAATTTTAGCTGCCGAAATATCCCTAATTTGCTTTTTTCCTGATTTTGGAGTACTTGGCTCTGCAGGCTTTATACTGCTGGGTTTTTTTGGAAGAGTTATTTTTCTCGTTTGCTCCTGTTGATTTTTTTTTTTTTTTTTTTGGTCCTTTTTCTAAGAAAACTGGGGAAAAAAGCCCGCCTCAATCTTTCTAAAATACTGGGACCAGCTGATCACTGGTGGGTCTGAATTACTAAAACCAGGGGGCCTACAAGAAATCTGGAGAGGGACTTTTTACAAGGGACTGTAATGACAGTACAAGGGGGGATGGCTTTAAACTGACAGAGGGGAGATGTAGACAAGATACTAGGAAGTCGTACTTCCCTGTGAGGGTGGTGAGACACCGGCACAGGCTGCCCAGAGAAGCTGTGGCTGCCCCATCCCTGGCAGTGTTCAAGGCCAGGTTTGACAGGGCTTTGAGCAACCTGGTGTAGTGGACGGTGTCCCTGCCCATGGCAGGGGGTTGGAACTGGATGAGCTTTAAGGTCTCCTCCAACCCAAACCACTCTGTGATACTATGAAAGTCGTGCGAAGATTGAGTAATTTTTGGTTTTAAAAAGGACAGAGGCTTCAGATAGTCCCTTGCAATATTTGCAAGTTATAATTTTTATTTTTTAAGTCTTCCATTAGGGTCAAATGTTAGGTGAATCCTAACAGAAGCACCAAAACCTGTATTCTTCATACAGAGTCTAGTCTGTGGTTTGAGCATATTGAAGGAAAGTAGTTTTCCCAAGCTTTACTTTCAGGAACAGCTGAAATACCAGGACTGACTTTTCTGAAGAAAACCATTTCACACCGATGCAGATGTTTACCCAAATGGTTAATATTTAGCAAGCTACAAACCACTAACAGCAGCCTTCTTAATATTGCATAATAAATGGTGCTGTGTAAAATGTGATAAACTCAGTGTTTTTATTACTGTGTTTACTAATAAGTGGTTTGATTTGATCTGAGTCTGGCATGGGTTAGCTCCAGTCCCCGAGCTCTGTGGAGAAACAAGAACCTGGCAGTGGGTCCACATACAATTTTTGCTGTCAGCTGGAGAGCAGGGAGGGAAGTTTAGGCAGAGTACACCACAGGGTGTGGGGCAGCTCCTGCTTTCTTTGCTCATCAAGACAATTAACAGATAAAAACCACTAATAAGGGGGGTTTTGTGCTTCCAAACAGGTATTTTTTGCATCAGTGCGATCTGGAGGAAGCAGCCAAGTGTTTTTCATGACCCTCAACAGAAACTCCATGATGAACTGGTAACAGAGGAGCACTTGGCAGTCACCGCCATGGCATTATTTCTAATTTAAAGGACATAAAACACGTGGACTAACACTGTAGAGGCAGATGCGGAGGGCGCCAAGGAACATCGCTCCCCACGCTCGCCCAGCGCCATCAGCCCTGGGGCAAGGGCTGCTGGCAGGGATGGACTTTCGCGCTTGGACCCCCCCAAGGTCTCCTGATTACGCTGTGTTATAGTGGGTTATGAGTTCTCCCTTATTTTATTTCAATTTTTTTTATTTTACTTTTTCTTTGTCCCCTACTTTGTAAGAACGGGGAAAGAAACAGTGTCCAAAAGTCTGTTTTTAATTCTGTCTGCCTGCTAGCATCAAATATATAGTATGTTGTAAAGTTACCAATTAAATCTGGTGAGAGACAGCACAATAAATGTACCTTTTATCTTTGTGATGAAGGCCATAACCATATAGCTGGGTAATTTTAGAAATCTTTTGCCTTCACCAACATTTACATGTTGCTTTTGGCAGCAACGGCTTAATGGATTTTTAAAGACGAGAAAAAATAATAGGTTTTTTTCCCCTCTTTTGGGAAATGGATTTTAAATGGCTAAACTACTAGCCTTAGACTAATAAAAATCAGCTACCATTTTTGTCAAGTTTGTCAATCCATATTTCTATATGGATATTCACATAATGGTGTGTCTTGATAGGGACAGAGGTGCCATTTGTTGTTGCTCCAGCGGTGCCCATCTGCCCTGGGGCTCAGCCGCAGGTGCCAGGATGGGGGGATCGGAGGAGAGGACAAGTGGAGCGGTTGGAGGAGCCCCGCGCTTGCCCCCCAGTTGCGATTTGCAGCCACAGACAGCTCCCAGGTTGCTGCGGGAGCTGGACCCTGATGCCGCAGCTGGTGAGAGCTGTGGGCGCTTGTCCCCTCCTGATCCCAGAGCTGGGTGCTGGTGTGCAGAGGCAGCCAGTGTGGGGATGGGGACCACACCACGAGCTGCCTGTCCCCCGTGTTGCTGGATTGGGCTTGTAAAGAGCTTAAAAATATATATATATGTGTGGTTTCTTCGGACGAGGGTCTGAATCTACTCGTTTTCCACCCCCTCCGCTCCCTAGGAATTACCCAACATACAGTGAAAGACAACATCTGTGCCGAACCGTGTGTGTGTGTGTGTTTAGTTCAGGTTGAATCGTGTCCTTATAAACTCTGCTCAGTTGATTTCCATTTTCGGTGCGTATCTGGGGTTTTCTTTCTCAGTAGCTGCAAGCATGGCCGCCTGTGGTGTTGGGGTGTCGCATAACAAGGTCTGTGTTGCTGGTTTTAACCTACCTCGTTTCGGTTGGGGTTTGTTTTTTGGTTTGGTTTCTTTTATCTTTTTTTCCGTTCCGCTGTCGATCACAGCGCTGTTACCTCCAGCGACATATAGAGAGCTTAACTGGCAATCTTGGTGTACTCAGTAACGATGGCTTTATTAAAAAATGATTAAATCAACAGGACTTGGTCACACTCGAATCTTTATCAAGGGTAGGAGATGATGTGGGGTGGCGGGTATGGGATGGGCCACCCTCGCCCAAAGCATCCCATGGGCAGGGCATCACAGTTTGGTGCCGGCAGGGATCGCTGCAATGGGACTCATGGTGGGATGCAGTGTTCAGAGGAGCACAGGCAGGAAGGACCTTTGGGTGCCTTCTTCACCCACCAGGCAACCTCCCAGTGTGCCAAGCGCAACCTGCCTAGCGCCCAGATAAGTGCCCAGCAAAGCACAGGGACGGCCATGAGACCACAACACTCAAACCACTTAAGACCCCATCCGAGCCCCATCACAGACACTGATTGCCAACAGCTCTTTATGTTTCTACTGTGGTTAGCATATAAAAGCATATAAAATTATGTTGCAAACTGGTGACTGGTTTTGGGTGTTTTGTCCCTCTTGAAGTGACAAATACACAGCTTTGGAAGATGATTCTTTTATCGTAGAGTTTTGGGTACAGTGACAAACAGAAGGGGATCGTTCTGTTTACACATAAGGTAGTTTGTGATTTTTTAAAATCTTAGCATCACTTGAAACAAAAATAACAAAAACTAGTATTAAAGGAGGCTTGTCTATGGAGTGTGTATCTGAGCGTATCACAGCAAACACATTTCTGGTGCCGACCACAATAAAACACAAAACTTACACATTCAGCCATGCCTTTTCTGTTTTGGTAAATAAAACCTGGGGTGTTCAGCAGGTGATGGAGGTCAAATGGCTTTTCAAGGCTCCGAGTAACAATTCCCTTTGCCTGGAGGTCTTGGTAAAGCAGTGGTTTTGGGCAGGATGAGTGCGGGTGTACAAGTATGTCCCCAGTGATGCTGCCTGGCAGCGAGCAGTGGCCAAGGGATGTCTCGATGAACCATCACCACCTGGAAACTTGTGCTCTTCTACAAATTCAACCCAGGACTATTACAAAGATGTGCTTTAATTTGTTTGTCTTTTGTTGTAAGTAAAATATGCTTGTGGGTGATCAGTGGTATTGGAAACTACTTAGGCTTAGTGTTTAAAGAAATAAAACATTGGGCTCCTTGTAAAACCCTGCTTCTGGGAGTTTTCAACTGGGAAAGGAAACTTACTTGTTTAGTGGAGCAGCACTGCAGGAGGAAAAGGACTTCTGTGCATGCAGGAGTCACTTGAGCCTGTTGCAGATTCAATTATTTACAGAGTTGCTGTCAAGTACTGCATGAACTGCAGGGGTGAGTCATACCCTCTGTGGTAAATGAAAGAAAAGCCCTGAAAGCTGGTGCGGGGCTGTGCGCGGTTGCTGGTTACCTCCAGCACACTGCAGACACTGGGGAGATGCTGGGTACCATTTCCAAAGTAAAGGATGCGCAGAGGTAAGGCTGTAGCAGCTACTCCTGGGATTTGCCAACTTGTTCCAGTGATTATCGAATGGCATTTCTCTTGTTGCGAGATGGTTTGGGGGATGATCATACTGTGTATTTTGGGGCAGAAAGGTGACTGGCCCTGGCCCCAGAGTTGGGCTGGTTGCTGGAAATGGTTGAAGCTGTTGTGCTACAATTCCTTGTCTCAACATGAGCCCACGCAGGTCTGTTGATGCTCATGTAGCAATTCACACGTTGCTGCTGTGTAATTGGGGCTAACATGATCATTGTTTATGCTGGCCATGAGCAGCAGTGGGGGCTGACCTGCCTGTTCCTGAGCGTGTGTGCTGCGTGTCCAGACCATACCATGCCAGGGCCCAGGATGATAAGCCACCTGCCTGAGACACAGCTCTTCTAAGGAGACCCAGCAGAGATATTCTTAGCAATAAGGATGTAGTTCAAGGCATCACAACCACTGCGTCCCTGTGACATCTATTTACTGCCCTGTGTACATGTGCAGAGCTGCCGCATCCTGTCCTGGCTGTCACCACCTACTGCAGAAGAGGTTTGCTGGGTTTGCTTCCCAATTTTTCCTTTCTGGGAGATGCTGCACCACCCAGAGCTGGGGATGGGAGGGGGCCCATTAAACCCCTGGTTTAGAGCCACTAGCTTTTGCCGGAAGGGTACAAGGCCGACACACCGGTATCTTTACAACAGTGCTGTAAATGCACAAAATTCTCGCTCTTGAATGTGTTTTGTCAGCCTGAAGCCCACACCCTGCAGGTGGCCCCAGCACTGCTGCCTGCTCCGGCTACTATGCACATAGAGAGGAAAACTGAACATCTATCGTGTTCTTTTCATGCCAGCCTCTGATGTGCCACGAGCTTGCTCTTGCAAGGCCACAGCCTTATGGTCTGGCTTTTCCTTTTAGTTTTGGTTTCTGTTTGTTTTCTTTTTTCCTTTTCCCTTTTTTTTTGTTTAACATCAAAGCTCCCTCTGACTGACCCAGAGGCAGTAAAAGGGGTGTGCAAATTACATTGGCCACTGAGAAAGCCTCACTGTGCTTCTGGAATCTTCAAATTCCTTCCACTGATGTGACAGCATGTTCTGTTGTTCAGAAGCAAAGCCCAACTATAACATTTTAACATGTTGCTTTTATCACATAGCATTAGATTTAGCAACACCACCAATTATAGCAGACACAACATATAGTATGCAATAAGCATGGCATTTCATCATCATAGAATCACAGAATGGTTTGGGTTGGAAGGGACCTTAAATCTCATCCAGTTCCATGTTCCACTAGAGCAAGTTGCTCCAAGCCACATCCAGCCTGGCCTTGAACACTGCCAGGAACAGGGCAGCCACAACTTCTATGGGCAACCTCTGTCAGGGCCTCATCACCCTCACAGGGAAGAACTTCTTCCTTATATCTAACCTAAATCTCCTCTCTTGTCAGTTTTAAAGCCCTTCCTCCTTGTCCTGTCCCTTGTAAAAAAAAAAACCTCTCCAGCTTTCTTGTAGCCCCTTTAGGCACAGGAAGCTGCTTTATCCCCAGAGCCTTCTCTTCTCCAGGCTGAGCAACCCCATCTCTCTCAGCCTGTCTCTGTGTGCTCAGCCACTTGCATAGAGACCCATGTTTGCCAGTGGCATGTTTCACCTCTGCATCACGCCACATTACCAGAATAACTGTGTGATCAATCTATGCAGCTGGGCTGCTCCATTTGCCCTGGCAAGGAAAGTCCCGTGTGTACAAGGGAATAGTCTCTTGTGCAAGGCAGTGTCTGAGCTGACCAAATGCTCCTAACACCTTCAAACACTCTTCTTCTTTTTATCTTTTTTCTCCCTTCTTTTCTTTTTTCCTTTTCCCTTTTCTTCCTTTTTCCCATTTTTTTTTCTTTTTTCATTTTCTTCCTTTTTTCCCTTTTTTATTTTTTCATTTTCTTTTTCCCCTTTTTCTTCTTTTTTTCCTTTTTTAATTTTTTAATTTTTCCCATTTTTTCCTTTATTTCCTTTTCTCTTTTTTCTCTTTTCGCTTCTTTTCTTTCCCTTTTTTTCTTTTTTCATTTTCTCCTTTTTTCCTTTTTACCTTTTTTTTAATTTCTATTTTCTTTTTCCTTTTTCCTTTCCATCACTCCAAGGCCTCCTGCTGGTTTGTATATCATTTTTTTCCAGCACTGACAGGATTCTGGTGACAAGCTAAGCAGCTCAGCTGGCACAGCCTGCTGAGCCCTCGCAGGGCTGCTGCAGCTGGGACTCAGGCAGCTCCCACCAGCGCCTAAGTGTGTCTGGACTGCTGTAAATTGGGTGCTGAGGGTCCCCTGCAGCCACATGGAGCACACATGCTCTTGCCACCCTGGCCAAGGGAGGCCATGGGGCTTCCTGCCCCATTGAAGTCACCAGGCCACTCCTGGGGAGGTGAGTGATGGTCAGCCATGCCTCCCCACTGCTGCCTCAGCTGCTCTGCACCCCCTCCCCAGGAAGCCAAATTAAGGGTTGTGCTCTGTAAGCAGCAGCAGAGAGGACATGAGAAACCACAAGCCACAGACATTGCCCCCCCCCCAGCTTTCTCCCATCCATATGTTGATGGCCTTTAACCCCTCAAACTGCCTCCAGTAGGACGGGAAGAGTAGGGGGTAAAGCATCATTCTCCCTTGGCCAGGAACCCTTGACAGGATGGGGATCTCAGAGGGGGACATCAGTTCTGGCCAGGAGTTTCACAATACCCAAGACTTTCAGTCTGGGATATCAAATCAGGACCCTTTCTTGTTTCCCAATTCAAACTTGAGGAGCCTGTTAATTGTCTAATCCTGCCAGGCCCCAGCATGGAGGCATTTAACCACAGTGCAAAGAAATGGTGCTTGTAAATGCCTGGGTATCCAGACACAGCAAGCAAACAAACACGATGGGCAAAGATCTCAGCTGGAAGGACAAATAGTGAGGAAGACTTCAAAAAGCTCAGCTGGAATGCAGGTGCTGCGCCTGGAATTGATGCCTCTATTAATGCAATGAACTTACCTCCAGTAATGTAAAACTTTAACTGGCAGAGACCAGTGCAAAGATTAGTGGTCTTGCGCTCATCTTCTTTTTGTTTTTTTTCTCTTCCGCTTCCTCTGTAGAAAGTACAATTTGTGCCCATGTGAAGTCTGGCTGACTGACAGCATCATCCAATGAGTCTGTAGCTTGTGTAGCTTGGCAGCCGGACCCATCAGGAGTTTATCTGGAAGGCAATGGCATTAATCAGCATTAATCACCTTCTCGCATGATTCAGACTTTGGCATGTCTCCTACGGATGTCACCATCCCCCCTCCTCCTGCAGCTCTTCTCATCTATGACATCAAGGACAGCAAAGCCTGAGCCAGAGTGAGACCAGCTCAGACCAGCTTTTGCAGATGTGCAAAGTTCATGACTACCGAGTAACGCAAGCCAAAGGGCTGCGATGTTTGGCAGCATCAGTAGTATTTGCTAGCATCAGCAGTATTTCACAGCGCAGCATTTGGCTGGTGGTGCTGAAAGGCTTAGCACTTGTGTCTTTTAGGGCTTTTTAACAAAACCATGAAATGCTATTGTAATATTCTGGATAATTTTGCTATGTGATATCTCTAAATCCACATAGAACTGTCTCTTCTCAA